TCAAAATCCAAACCACCTTAGATAAACAAAGGGAAGCATACAATTTCAATCCATGAACATACCTGATTAGTACTGATGAGGTATAGATGAAAAGCAGTAAGACCTCCAACAAACCACACTGATATAAAAGTGTATGCTATCAGAACAATGGAGGCCGGTGTTTTGATCATTGCTTTCCATATGGTGGTGTCATCTAGAACCATGATTCTCTTAATGTAGACCCAGCAGAACCCAAAAACATATATGCAAAGAAGTGTTGTAGAGAAGACAAACATGAAGAAAAAACGGTAGTTACGCTGCAATAAAAGACACAAGTTTCAGAAATCTGTGCAACGTATGGAAAGAGTCCAAGACATCAACACTAGATCCATTTTTAAAGATGCATTTGTTACAGAAATTATCAGTGCAAGCAAATGGACTATAGATATTTCCGAAATCAAATGTGGACGTTGACGTTAACAGGTAAATTGACCAGCCCAACTTCATACCTTCATAAATCTCAGACTCACGACAGCAAGTACTGTACGCAACGACAAAAAGATTTCAGTCGAAATGTGAGAACTTATACATGTGGATATGTGTACTAAACCCTCTAACTTATTTCCACCGCAAAGATCTAGAGAGCTAAATATTTCTAAAACATATAATTGTCTGCATGATGGCCATTTGAACTAAATGCTCAGTTACAAACCTTTGAACTTCCTCCTGCTACCAACAGCATCAATGGTAAAAAGAGTTTGATTCATACATTATTATTAACAATTTAACATAATTTATATACTTGAGCTGAATTTCACGATGCTTTGAGGATCTAATACTTCAGATCCACATCATTGCTTCATTCAGACAACAACTCTACAAGTTAACTTTAGACATTTTACGAAATTTACTTGTTTTCGCAAATTGACATAGAGTGAATAGGTAATTTTTTTAAAAAAAGATAAAGAAGAAAGAATCAGTCTTACATTTATTTGTTTGTATAAGTAAAAGAATCAGTCTTTTGTTAGTATCTTTTTATGAGGTTTCCAAGCAGAACGAAAGAGCATGATTATGATAAAATGTCTGATAACTCTTCATATCAGATTATATGCAATAGTTCATCAGACATATCAAGCAGTGAAAAGTAAAACTGAAAAGAGAGCATATCAGTTACTAGTGTGGTGGTACCAACTAAAAATATGTTAAGAAAAAAAAAAAGAACTATTACCAGCCCAATGCATTGCCCTACCCAAGGGCAGTGATGGTCAAATCTTTCAACGCAGTTATTGCAGATTGAACAGTGAGAACAACGGGGAGGTCTATAAAGCATGCAGGTGTCACAGTATTTGATCTTCACGGTAATGCCATTGACCTCAACTTCTTTAATGCGTGGCAAACGTAATTGAGGGGTTTGTCCACCACCTTCTACAGTACCATCATAACCTTCTGGTTCTGGAGGGTGTGCATTACGAGGAATTATTCCTGGATCCCTTCCAGATGTGAGAAGGAGTAGAACTAAAACCTGTAAGATTCAAATGTGAAACTATTAGCCATACAAATTGGAAGAAACCTTGCAAAAGTTATGCAATTAGGTTGCCAATCCTTTTCATTGTAAGGACAGCCACTTAACAGTCAAATCAAAGACTATTAACACAGCCAAGGCAAACTTACATCCTTGAAATGCAGTGCCAAGTTTGATATCTTATCAATTTTGAGATCATTGATTTTCTAATACTTGGAATTTTTCCAAGGCAACACAGATTAAGTAATTATCCAATACTCAGAATTTTGTTTCCAGTAACTGTGAGATTAAATAAAGACGAACTTATACAGCTATTGTGTTTTCTGCAATTGCAATCATAAACTGCAGGTAAGCTTGTTCAGTAAAACACTAAATCTGATGTTACAATCAATGAAAACTAGGGAGAGAACTTACATAGAATGTGAACACAATGACTACAACCATAATCAATATCCCCAGGTGATTTGAAAAATCATCCATCAGCTTTCTAGCAACAAAGACACAGAAAACTGAGACAGGGGCCACTATGAGAAATATGGTCAGTGCTAGGGATCTTGCGTCTGGCCCAAATATGAACCTTCCTTGGAAGAAAAATATCTGCTCAGAGAAGAACATTAACAGTCAGAAATTAAGAAAAAACTGGCATAAATTCTGTTTGCATCGGAAAACTCTACTCACGTCTCACAGAAACGTTTCTTTTTCCTTTTGTAAGGAGTATATGTAAAGAGATAACTTAACTATTTTTAACATAGGAAGTTTGATGATCACTTTTCAGTACATCAAGAAGTAATTTTTCAACACATGAACACAGCTGGAAAGATATTCAGTTATAGATGAGCATATGATCAGTATAGGGACTACCAAAGAAGTTTGTCCTAGAATTGAGATAAAATAATCAACAATGTCCTCCTCTAAGTAAAACCTCATTCTGAGAAGTAAAATAGCACAAACCAAAATAGAGTAAATGTGACAACATAAGCTAGAATGAGCACATCCTCCTACGTGTTGCTTGGCCACTAAAAACTAATACTAATAATCTTCAGGATTTCTCCAAGGAGATGATACCTCAAAGCTACTCCTTGGGTCTTTTTTAAACCAGGCTGATGGATTTTAGTTTGTAATGAGATAGCAAGTTGTAACAGTGTCAATAAACTATAGTTAAAGCTTTAAGAGATAGTAGAAAATAATGGAATAGCTAATACTTACATTGCTTCCTTTCCATGTCTGGTAAATCCGCAAGTCATCCGACTCATTAATGGATCCAGACAATGGATCGGGTCGTTTCGGAGGAGGAACCACATACATCTCTGGGCCTTCCTCTCTATTATGGCCCCTCAGGAATCGAGATCTCCAGCAACAAACGTTGATAAGAATATATAAGCACTAAAGTGAGAGCGACTTCCCGGCGATAAAATTTGCCGGCGAAACAGTCAGATTCCGGTGAAGGGGAGTAGTAGTGTTTTGGTTAAATGGGCCGACAAGGCATGAGGGTAAAGAGAGTGTAAAAGGAAAATAAGGGTTTGGTTTGGTTTGGTAGGGGACCCATTTCTCACTTTACAGGATGGTCAAACTGACGTGGCATATTATCGTTGGGTGAGCTACTGGAGTGGACCCCATCAACTTTTGTTTCCTTTCCTTCTTCCACTTTTAAGGAGTTCATCAGAAAAAAAAAAGAGAATATTTATTGTGCTTAAATAATGTAAATAGAATTGATGTCAATTAAACTTTCAAATATTGACGTATAATTACAAGTATTATTAAAGGTAGAGAAATATAATAAAAGAATGTAGTAGGAGTATGTTATTTTTCAATTAAACGCCAAACCTTTTTCTGTGGACTGAAAATTAACATTGGTGATTGGCACGAGATGATGTTGACATTTTAATTTTATTATAAATTAGAAAAAGCTGAATAATGTTTTCAACTGGTTCTATGGTGTAGTGGTTAGCACTCTGGACTTTGAATCCAGCGACCTGGGTTCGACTCCCGGTAGGACCTTATTTTTTTTCCTTTTTTATTTTCCCCACTTTAATTTGTTTTTGTTGTCTCCATAAATAATGGAATACTCCTATATAGGGTTGTTCATGGTTATTGTTAAAAAATCAAACCAACCACATTTTAAATCAAAGTAATTAAAAATCAATATTTGGTGTGGTTTAATTAAGTTTAGTTTTAAATTTTGAAAATCGATATTATTTGGTTTGACTTTGGTTTACTAAAAAAAAACCGTAAAAACAACCAAACCAAACAGAGAAATTATATATATAAATTTCATAATTATTTATATATTATTCATAAATAAAATATAAATATTTTGTTAAATTTTAATTAACTTAAGTCTTAACTTTACCATTTTCTCAAGCTCACCCTTAATTTTTTGCCCAACTATTAAAAACGGTTGTTTGGTGTAAGAGATAAAAATAAATAGTGATGGAATAAAAATTTTGTTTCTTGTTTGGTTGCCATGTTTGAGATAACTTATCCCACCATTTATACCATAGTGATGGATAAGTTATCACATATACATGGTGGGATAAGTTATCCCAGGATAATTATTCTTGGGATAACTTGTTCCCAAAACGACCCTAAAATCAAGTCCATCAAAATTTATTACTTTAATTTTTACCTACCCTACGTCACATTAGATAGTCACATTTTTTCTTAATTGATTTTCTTTATTCGTGTAATAATAACTCTACTATTGCTTAATTGGATTCCTAATAACTTTCTTGTGGATTGTTCATATGTTAGGTGTTTGTGTCTATCGAGATGCGTATACTCTCAACAAATTTAATTAATTACTTTCAAATCGAAAAAAGTAACCTGAACCAGACCAACAACAACCAAACAATTATTTTTTTCATTTGGTTTGATTTGGTTTTAGAAATTTAAAAACAAATTGGTTTGGTTTTGATCTTAACCGACAACCAATTTAAACCGAACCATGGACCCATACATGAATTTATTTATGATATTTTGAGGGATAAAAAGTGAAATAAGAAGATCCATACCTGCATTACTAATCTCTCTACAGTACAATTCTTACATTATTACTCTTGAATCCTTAATCCATGTGGATGCCTATATTTTAATGCAGCATAATCTTCCAACAAACATCTTGTTTGTTTGGTTAGTACTTGAACAAACATAAGCAAAACCTAATTAGTAGTACTTCTTAATGATAAATGCCATATACTGTTGTGTCGTCAAACAATCTCTATTGAATTTATTATGTCAAGCATACAAATACATCCCAAATGTATCCAGGGGGTGTCACTTTGCTGAAAAATTACACTCTGTAGATGATAAAATAATTTCTTTTTTATATATGTGTCCTTTGTGCGTAAACCTTTTCATATTTTGACACCTCTTAATAAAAATGTTAGCTCTGCCACAGATATTCGCATGAGAGTAAATGTTCCTGCTGCTGCCCTAGTAGTGTTTATGATAATCTCAGAATAGAAACCCGAAGTTCTCTGACAAGGACACTAACTTGCAATCACCACCTTGATTTATAATCTAAATGATCATCCGCATTCTGTTTCCCTTTCTCTCTCCAAGTCTCGCCCCACTTCTTGGCCTCTGCAACAGCTCGCTCCCGCTCTTGATCCCTGTTCAAAGCTCTTATAACTGTTACATCGATCTGAGCTCCATTAAAATCAACAGAGCTTCCATTTGTTAGTTCTTCAACAGCGGATGTCCTCCCGTCTCCCTGAGATCCAATCTGATTTGACTGAGCTGCATGTGAATTATGCTTTTGGGATGCAAAGTAACTCAAAGCAAGCACAATGTCTTTCGTGTGAGGTCGAGCATGGGGATCATCCTGAACACACATTAAGGCCAGTTCTACTACCCTGCGGAAGACAGATTGTGGAAACTTGCCTCTTAACATTGGATCCGCTAATTGTACATAGTTCATGCGGTCTTTCAACATAGGACGTGCCTGAGAAGGGGCAAGGAAACTTCACCGTTAGCGCACAAACAGGAACTGACAAAACAGGAGCCTAATGTTATCAATAATCTCAACACTTTTCATTCAGAAAAACAAATGAAACAATTTAGTGTATGATACATTTCAATGGTCAGAACCGTGCAAAGATGGTATTTAATCACTGGATAGATCAGTCATTCTCATTTTCCAGTAACTTTAGGCTCCTCCAAGACAGAGACCTTCAACCAAAATACCTTTGACATGTTGATAGAACTTTATGCTTCAAAAATGAAGTAATAGATGGTAGAGTCAAGAAAGGACACACAAACATTTTTAAATAGTGAAACAAAAAACTTATACTATTTGTTACATGTATTTATGTTTCAAAGTTGGTTTATTTTCCAGCTTGCCAAATATACTGACTTCAATCAATTAAATGTGAAGTGATTACCCAGTCAACAAGCATTTCTTTTCCATGTTCGCGAGAGTCATCCATTGCTCTACATCCAGTAATTAGCTCCAACAAGAGCACACCAAAACTATAGATGTCTGATTTCATAGTCAGTTTTCCGGTTCCAGCATACTCAGGTGCGCAATACCCATGAGTGCCCATAACCTGAGTTGAAACATGTGTATTGTCTGCAATTGGGCCAAACTTTGCAAGACCAAAGTCAGAAAGTTTAGCATGGAAACCCTCACCCAATAATATGTTTGCCGACTTAAGGTCCCTGTAGATAACAGGACGATCAGCTTGGTTGTGAAGGTAATCCAGGCCTTTGGCAGCACCAGATGCTATTACCATCCTGGTATCCCAATCCAATGGGTTCATGTCAGGCGTAATATCTGCACATTATACTCTTAATTAACACATTTTATACTTTAGAGGAAAAATGCATATATTAGTTGCATCCTCTGATGCATTTTCAATTTTAAAAAAATTCTACAGAAAAAAAGTTCAGTTCAAATCAAGCAAAGTAAAGCTGGAAAAGTTCCCACCAAGCTAAAACACACATAGTAACAACTTTGGCAGACATATTGCAGACAACCACAAATAGGATCAACAAATTTAATGCATGGTTAATAGAATAATACAGAGAGGAGTAAAAGAAGGGCAGTTGATATCCATCAAATTTGGCAGTGCAGCCGTAAAGAAGTGAAGACTTCCTCGATAAAGAACAAAAACTAATGAAAACAGAAGTGAAAGAGTATTAAAGAATGATAATAATAACTTCATATCTTCAAGGATATTCTGAAAATGGACTTGTTTCAAGCTTAAGAGCCTATTTGGATTGATTTAAAAGTTGGTCAAACCTACTTTTTAAGTCATTTTTAGCTTTTGGAAGTGTTTGACAAGGTTAAAAATAACTTAAATAAGTTTAAAATGACTTTCAAAGGTTAAAAATCAAAAGTAAGTCTCCCCTACTTTATATTTTTTGACTTAAAGTTATTTTTTTAAGTCAATCCAAATGGGCTCTAAATGAGTTAAGCTATCAAAGATGATCCAAAAGTTAATAGCAAATAATGCATGAATCTACAGCTCTGAAGAATAATATTAACAGATTGGTGCAGGTAGACGAATAAGAATTAATTTGTTAGAAATCCAAATTAAATCTCATAAACTGTATGAGTGAGAATATAATTACCATGGAGATGATATTCCAAAGATCCTAGAGGCATGAATTCATAGATAAGAAGACGCTGCTCTCCTTCAGTGCAGTAACCAATTAGATTAACCAGGTTAGGGTGGCGCATCAGTGAGAGCATGTGAACCTCGACAAAGAACTCCTTATCCCCTTGAAGACCTGAATGATTTAGCTTCTTAACAGCCACAACCTGAATGGTTACAGATGATAAAGTATGATGATGAATTTGAAATGACCAAAACACATGCACTTCTTTTAGCATGACATTAGATATAGTGAAAATCACCTGACTAGTTGTAAGTTGCCCTTTGAATACTGGCCCAAAGCCACCTTCCCCGATGATGGATTCTCGCCTGAAATTGTTTGTGGCGGTTGCAAGATCCCGGTAAGAAAAAGTTGGGAGGTTGCTTCTCCGAGGAGAATCATCTTTTGATATCAGTAGTTGCTGTCTGGGCTCCAGCAGTGTGATGGGATTATCTGGCATTAAAAAAGAAAATCATTACTACTTGTTGAAAAACCATTTACATTGTTTGAGGATGGAGAGTTAATTAAGTTAGTAGATTGAAATGGGATGGGAAGGGAAGGGAAGGGAACCTGGAGGAAGATGAGAGTTGATAGGATTAGGAGGGTCCCTAGTTGGTTCAATAGGGACGTAATTAGTGTTGGTTTTCAAGTTGATCCCCCTTTTCTTGCTCCCGATCCCGAAGCATGGACAATAGGGACCCATTGATTCTTTCTTTTTCTCCGATCCTAATCACATTCTCCATCTGCATCTTGCATTTCCCATCTAGCTAGGGTTAACATCTTAATAATAATTATTCCTCTAATCTCATATTTACAATCACATAATATTCCTAATAATAATACGTATGGGTCGGGCCTGTGTACACTTACATAACTAATCAATCTAATGGGCTTGGCATCATGACTTGTTTCCCTAACTTATCTTACCTGGAATTGGTTCTCTACCTGATTTGTTGTTGACACTTCCACCTCCTCCTCATTTCTTCTTCCCTATCCCTAATCTTGTTTTATGTCATCTAATAAACAATTTCTCATTTATTGATAATTTAAAAAATAAATAAAAAACGAGTGAATTTTTTTAAAATGTTAACTCAACTTCATTTTGCTTTTTTAAAAGTGATCATTTTCGGACATAAAATCTTTCCTGAATCTATCAATGTTCCCATAATCATTTGTTTCATAACAGTGACTACAACATGATGTTATATAATTTGGAGAAAAGATTGAGAGAATGTGTGTATCTCAAGTCTATGTCGTCTATTTCTAACTACATTAATGTATTTGGAATTTATAACATTCGTGATTCATACTTAAGATAGGGTATCAAATTAATTCTATCTTGATTTTAATAAAATGGAGGTTACCATTGTTATTCCAAAAAGCAAAGTAGTGTAATATTTTGGATTAGATGCGAATGTGGTATGGAGATGGTGAGTGGTAGAGGCCGTCCTTGATTCGTGCAAGTTTATGGCATTTAGAATATTAGACGTGGACAAGAGTGGAAGTTAAAGGGTAACTAACTAATTAATGTGCATCCGCACACATTTCCTTTCTCGTCGATTTGCTCGCTGCATCTCCAATCACAGCACTTTTCACATTTCCTTCAACACCTCAATTTGTTTACTCTTTTTGATAATGTAAGCTCAATTTTTTCCTACACACACACACCTGCTAAATTGTAAAGTTTCCCTTTCCTCACTCACTCTCTCTCTCTCTCTCTCTCACTCAATTACAATTATGGATCTAACACAAACTTCTGATCAAACAATATCCAATGACAAACAGCCAGATATTCCAGACGAAACTCCTCCTCCCCATGAAACAGAGTCTACAGAAGCAGAGATTGTTGAACAACTGCCAACAGACGATGGAGTCATCAAGACAACAGATGATGATGGTGCCAAGACAGACGACGTCAAACCTGACGACGAGGTTGAAGTTTCTTCTCCCCTGCCTCCTGATCTCGATAAGGTTTCAGAAGAAATAGATCAATTTATCTCTGAATCGTCAAACTTAAAAGGGGATGATGATGAATCTAAGCCTCCCGATGTTCCTGTGTTTGTAGAACAATTTGCTGTTCTTGTTGAGGCTAAGATTGATGAATATGATGGTGGCGATGCACCCGTCAAATGGAGCCAGCTAGCTCAGGAGGAAGCCACATCATTTTTGGATATTGTAGATCGAATCTCCAACCTATTTACCTCCCTCTGTCGATTTTCTTCAGAGTACAAATATGCTTATTCAATCAGCCGTGTTGATGGTGTTCTTCAACGAGCAATGTCCTACATAGAGGAAGAATACAAGTCAATCCTCTACGATTACAAGATCAATACTGATTCAGATATCACCAATTCAGACACTTCTTCTTCCAAGCCTAACCCTAATTCTTATTCATCATCAGACACCAATCAAGCTGCAGAACAAGACTACTCTGCTTCTGAAGAAAATAAATTTCCAGGCTACTCTGAGGAAATCGTAGCCACCTTGAATAAATTTTCCAAAGCCTTGATTGCAGGAGGCTACGAAACAGAATGCTGTCAGGTCTATTTCATCGCACGGAGGAAAGCTTTGGAGGAAAGCTTGCATAAGCTTGGGTTTGAAAAATATAGCATCGACGATGTGCAAAAGATGAATTGGGAACCATTGGAGAGAGAGGTTACTGCTTGGATTGCAACATTCAGGCACTGCACTAATGTTCTCTTCTCCAGTGAACGCAAGCTCGCCGATGCCGTGTTTGAGGACCAACCATCAATTTCTGAGACCATCTTCAGCAATTTGTCTCGAGGTATGATGATCCAACTCCTTAATTTCGCTGAAGCCGTTTCCATGACAAAACGGGCTGCTGAAAAACTCTTCAAGTTTCTCGACATTTATGAGACTTTGCGGGATTTTATTCCTTTGGTGGATAAGATATTTCCGGTTTCTTACGCTGATGAACTCAAGGCTGAAGCTACATTGAGTCGGGGACGCTTAGGAGAATCCATGGTTTCTATCTTTTCGGAACTGGAAAACTCAATCCAGGGGGACTCAAACAAGACACCAGTTCCAGGTGGTGCTGTTCATCCTTTAACTCGCTACATCATGAATTATCTGAAATACGTAGGCGAGTACAGAGACACCTTAGAGCAGGTATTCAGAGAACATCAGATGATAGAAAGAGCTGACTCAGCCACGGGATCAGACTTTGACTGCCAAAATCCACAAGCGGGTCAGAGTAATCATCATACATCATCGAATAAGCTATCACCTTTCGAGACTCATATGATAAAAGTCATGGATCTATTGGATTCAAATCTGGAGGGAAAATCAAGGCTTTACAAAGACACTTCACTCAGCTCAATATTCATGATGAATAACGGACGATACATCTTGCAAAAAATAAAAGGATCTCCAGAGATCAATAGCCTGATGGGGGATCAATGGTACAGAAAGCGATCTTCAGATCTAAGACAGTACCACAAGAATTACCAAAGAGAAACGTGGGGTAAATTGTTGCAATGTTTAAACCATGAGGGATTGAATGTGAATGGGAAAGTGAATAAACCAATATTGAAAGAGAGGTTCAAGAGTTTCAATGCATTGTTTGACGAGATACACAAGACGCAGAGCAGTTGGGTTATTAGCGATGAGCAATTGCAGTCGGAGCTGAGAGTTTCCATATCAAACATGGTTATACCAGCCTACAGGTCATTCTTGGGAAGGTTTAGTCAAACATTTACTCCGGGAAGGCAGACGGAGAAGTATGTAAAGTACCAACCTGAAGAAATTGAAACAGACATTGATGAGCTATTCGATGGAAATGCTACGCCATGGGGGAGGAAGAAATTGTAATCATAATAATCAACTGTTAAGAGAGAGAGAGAGATCAGTTGATGATCAATAACGTTCTTTTTGTGTTGTAACTTTTTTTTTTTTGGATTATTGTTTATGTTTGTAGTGGTACTCCATTAGTTAACTTTTTAAACTTTAATTCTTTGTTTCATGTACCCAATTCACTTTTACTACTTTTAAGTTTTATATACTCGACAATATAATGCCAAACTTTAGTTTTATAGGAGCAACATAACAATCTTAAAAATTGAGTATTTCTATAAAATTTAAAATAAAGTTTACATCATGATGCAATATTTATGTAATTGTATATTATGATTTCATTTTTATTTTATGTTGTTAAGAAATTAGAATAAAATATAATTTATATTACATGAAGATTTTGAAACAAATAAAATTTTATATTACATGACGATTATGTATGATGATTATTTGGAAAAATAAGAAAAGATTTATATTATGAAATAAAAAAATAATAATATAATATTAAAAAGAGAGAATTTTTTTGGGGGTGTAAAATAGAGAATTGAATTGAAATTAGTTATCTCCAAATTGAGAGATTGACAATTGACACGCTAAATGTATACTTGTAAAAAGACTAAAGAAAAAAGAGAAATTCAAAGTTAAGTTTATTTTCAATCTAGAAAGGTGGTTTTTTTTTTTTTACATATTAAAAAAAAAGTGACACATAAATTGAGACAAAAAATATAAGTATTGAAAAATAACTTTGTTGATTAAATCAGGATCCTAGACGCAACAGGTAGAGCTGGCAAATTAGAATACATCTGAAACAGGATTCCTACAAATATGAATTATATCCAATATTACTTGAGAAGTCAAGTTTAGTGCCACCTTGATAATTATCAAGTTTTTATATGAGAAATAGTTATCTACCAAAGTATTCTATTAAGTTTTAAGAGCCTGTTTGAATTGACTTAAAAAAAAAGTTTTTAAGTTAAAAAAAAAGTTTTTAAGTTAAAAAAAAAAAATTAAACTGAAATGACTTTTAAGTAAAAAAAAAGAATAGGGGGAGATCTACTTTTGGTTTCTGACTTATTTTAAGTCATTTTTTACCTTGCCAAACACTTCATAACTTATTTTAAGTTTTTTTTTTATATATTTGTCAAACACTTCCAAAAGTCAACCTTTAAGCCAATCCAAACGGGCTCATTTATTAAAAACCGTAAAAATTAGACTGAATGATCAGTTTTCAAATCAACCATCAAAATTTAGCTATTATTTCAAATATAACTAGAAAGTGACCATTTAATGCAAAAATATTACTCCGAACAAATGCTTGTAGAGAAAATATGAAACACACAAAACATGACATACAAACTTGAGTTGAATTTCAACACATTTGTTCAAAATGTTACTGAAGTTTGAATTTTAGGAACGATTTTGTGGAGTTTGAACTTGTAAAAAATCAAACTTTTACGAATTTTGAAATTGGTATCATTAATTAAACGATGACAAAGTTTTAAAATTGGTACCATGAATAAAATAACAATAAAATATATATCATGAGTGAAATAAACTTACATGATAATGTGAAAATCAATGATTATTTACTTGTAATACATGTTTTGAACTCAAGGACAAGTTGAAAGAGGAGTTGTGTTCACAACAATTTTTGTTGTTGTTTAAGAAAAGTTTGGGAATACAAGCTTATCTCAATACATTTTCCACCCATAGACAAATGATCAGACAAAACGCTCCATTCAGTCTCTCAAGAATATGTTAAAGACAACCTTAGATTTTAGAGAAAATTGGGGTGATCACTTACCCTTTATTGAATTTACATATGATAAAGCTACCATTCAAACATTAGAATTGTAAAATTCAAAGCTTTGTATGGACAAAGATGTAGATCACATATCGAATGGTGTGAAATTGACGAAATATAATTACTTCAGACAGATCTACTTCATCATGCTATGGAGAAAATCGAGCTAATAAAAGAGTGACTAAAAACTAGTTAGAGCCATCATAAGTACTACTCATATGTGTGATACAAGAATTTAGAATTTAATATTTTATATATGAAGGGCGTCATGCAATTTGAAAATAAAGAAAAGTTGAGTATGAGATACATTGGTTCTTATAGAATCTAACATAGAATTAGATCAATGACCTATGAAGTTGAATTACCTGCAAAACTATATCTAATTCACTCAATATTTCATATTTTCATATTGTGGAAATGTCTAGGAAATTCTTTCATTGTTGTATTACTGAGGATATTGAAATCACAAAAAAGTTTACTTATGTACTACGCTAACTATTGAGTGGATGATAGTATATATAAACCTAACTACTGAGTGGATGGTAGCCTCCACGGTACACACATGGGGTGTTAGTGACTTAGATCTTTCGCCTTAAGTTATTTGTGTTATTGAGTGAGATCCACAACTCAAAAATAATTGAACTCTGAATTTTTCTCAACAAAGTTTCTTTAATTGAACAATCGCACAATTCTCAAATATCTACCGATTACCAGAAACATATACACAAACCTCATATGACATTGCATAACAAAAATAAATAATAGGCATAAGCATATACACGATTTTTATGATTTCCTATTGAACATGATCTGCATTTTCAAACTTCTCAATCAATTTTTTCCGAGGCTCCACATCCAATGACCAAATACATACTTAAAGTTCGAACAAGCATTGCAACTAAATCTAATACAAACATTTCCAACCAAATTGAGACATTAAATTTATTAAATCCTAAGTTGTTAGAATCGTTTCCAAAGTACTTAATAAAAAAGTAAGAAAGAAAAAATACATCATATATATATAAAAGAAAACCTTAGGCTCGCCTATGTGGCGCCACCACAAATCAACATTTCCTTTTAATTTATTTATTTACAAAACTAACCTTCCCCTTTCACGAGAAGTTGTGAAATTTATGAAAAGTTGCGACTTTAATGAATAGTTGTGACTTTTATGAAAAATTGTGACTTTAATGAAGAGTTGCGACTTTTATGAAAGGTTGTGACCTTTCCGAAGGATTGCAACTTTTTCAGATAAATGTAACCTTTCCGATAAGGCACAATAAACATTTATTCACACTATCCTTCGTTGTCTATAAATAGAGGAATTTCCTCTCATTTTAAAAGAATGAAAATTCTGAACCTTTTCTTCTTCGCAATTAAATATTTGTGTACTTTACTCCTGTTGAGCGACTTTCTAACACCATTGCTTATGTTATGGTATGTATTTTTACAGTCATTAATTTATGCTTATGTTATTAAGGATAAATGATAAGATGTAATAATTTTCATTTTTCTTTACATTATTAATGTTTGTTAATACGTAATTTTTTATGTAAGATAATATAATATTTTAATTTTAATGACGGATAGATTTTAAGTATTATTTTATAAATTTCATGATATTAGTGATTACTGGTATTTGATAAGAAAAAAGGAAAGAGAAGGGGTTATAAAGGTAATTAAAATGAGTAAGGAAGGAGAGGTGCGGAAATTGGACAGGTTCACGAGCGGAAGCTAAACCCAACTTGGTTTGGTTAGATATGGGCCTTGAGTTTGAAGTCGTGTATTATTACAACAACAACTACTGTATCTGTATGTATGTATATCTGTAAGTCGGGTTTAATTATGTATTGAATTTCAAATATTACGAAACAAGTTGTTTCTCCCAATTCCCTTCGCCGCTACCCACTTCTGCTGCATTCTGGTTTGTCTTCTTCTTCTGCTCCTAATTCTGATTCTAGGGTTAATTCTTTTTTTTTTTTTTTCAGTTCTTGATTTTCTTGTTTGCGAGCTTCTTTAACCCTAGAAACCTAGGAATTGAACTGACATGCCAATTCTGCTTTGTTAGTTTTTTTTTTTTTTTTTTTTTTTTTAACTTTTCCTTCTGTTCTTTTTTTGTTTTGCCTTTGTTTAGAGATAAACTTATGTTGATATGTCTTTGATTAAATATAAGTAATGCAATGTTCAAAGGCTAAAGATCCAATCTTCTCTTAACTGGTAAGGCAACAGATTGACGCTAGCCGTGTTTTCAAAATTCCAAAAGGTAGGATTGGGATGGCTGGTGATTAATTCCAACTTTTAGAAAGGGTACAATAAATGATATTTCAACTATTGCCGAAAAGAACGGTATTTTAATTGTTAAGCATGTGTAAAATCAGGACTCCTAACAATTTCGATTTTTCATAGATTTTATTCCAAGTTATGGGGGTGAATGTGTGTTAAATTGGCTCAGTTTGTTATATTTGTGCTAATTAGCCAGATATGGACACAATGTGTGTATGGTATCTTTTTATTCTAGAAAAAAGTGTGTATGGTATCATAGAATGAATTGCAACTGCAAGCATGGAATATATTAGAGGTCAAACATTATAATACTTTTTACATCTATGTATCTGTTATATATCTGAAGAGCTATTCGGTAAATGTATCTGTCTAAGGGGAAATATTCAGCTGCCGGAAATCCTCCCCATACACAGTTGGGAGATCCTTTTTTTTTTTTTTTGGTTAGCTTTTTAGGAACTACTTAGAAAGACCCATTTTTCAGGAGCTATCCTTAAATGGTCATCCCTGGAATGCAATTTGTGGACTAATCTATATTGTTAAGAGAATAAGTGTAAACATTGACTACTTATTTGATTTGAAACATTCTTGTCTGCTTCTTCAAAATGGATCCTTTGACCCATAAAAGTGCTTCCTTTTTCTAAGTTGGGCATCATTCTCATGTCTATACTTGTGATTTGACAGGATTTGTCCTACTAAATTATTATTATCTAGTCAATTTTTTTTTTATCGCTCCCACAAATGTGATATCGTACTTATTTAGTTTGTTTCTGGCAGAGTGTGCTTTTCTCTTAAAGGTCTGCTTGCGGCTTACTAGTTGATGAATATTGCTTCCGAAACAATGGGGAGCACATTTAATACACAAATTTTGGTGGATAAGCTGGAAATGCTCAATAGTTCACAGCAAAGCATTGAAAGTATCCATTAACTTTTACCTGCTACTTAGATAATCATTCGATCTTAATTTTTTTTCTGTTTAAGTAGATAATAATTTAATCTTATGCTATCCCCTCTATCCAGTTTTTCAGGAAACAAATTGGTGGGGCATGGAAACTAACTCCATGTTTGAAAACTAGGGAGAAATAAAGGAGATTATAATGAACAAAAAATAAGTTATTTTCTTCCAGCTGTTTAATTTGGCGGATAAGAAAAAGAATGAGGACAAGTGTTGGACTTTCGTCTTCCCTTCGGGGTGTCCCAATGGTTTGGGCTTGGGACATCCATGTTGGAGGTCTCAAGTTCGAAACCCCTTGCCGGTGAAAACATGGGGTTTGTTTTTTGGGTCGAGCTCATTGCATCGGGCTTGCCTAGTGCGGGTTACCTCTCTCGTGTGGTTTGCGAGCTATTGCATAGAAACAGAGGTTTTACCCTGTGCGCACCCAAATGGTAGCGGCTGCGTGTTTCCCTTATCATAAAAATAAAATAAAATATTGGACTTTCGTTCTCTTGAATTTGAATTTGTGGGTACAGTAGGAAAAATTACTCTCATTTATTTCTTCAGCAATTATTTATTTAACAAATGTTTTCTTTTGTAATCCTCAACTCCAACTAGCTTTATCACATTGGTGTATTTTTCACATGACCAAAGCAAAACAAGTTGTGGAAACTTGGGCCCAGCAATTCCATTGCTCACCACGTGAACAGAGATTGTCATTTCTTTACCTTGCAAATGACATCCTTCAGAATAGTCGGAGAAAGGGTGCAGAATTTGTTGCTGAATTTTGGAAGGTTCTTCCAGATGCTCTTCGTGATGTTATTGAAAATGGAAATGAGGTTGGAAGAAACGCTGCTTTGCGGCTGGTATGTTTCTCTAGCTCCTTATTTTTAGCTCCACATGTTGCCATAGGGGTAAATGAGTTTGATGAGTTTTAGTCCACCCAGCTGTATGTAGCATTTGAGATACATATTTGTGGATGGTTAGCATTCCGAGAGGAAGACCCAGGTTATGCATCTAATTCTGAATTTCCTGACAAATCTCTTCTTTAAGTTTTTAAGATTCCCTAAGATTTCCCCATACATGGTGTTCTGATCAAGTAATAGGTAATGTTCAATCTCTGAGCTTTGTTGTCAAAGAAGGAAGTCCCATGTGTTATCAAGAGGGAGGTGTATTTAGTTTCACTATACTAGATTGTAGATTTATTTTAGAGAGAAGCGATGATAGTACGATAGCGTCAAATTAAGGAGAAGCAAAAGGTGTATCGCTCAAATGATGAGTAATCATGAATATGTCACATGATACCCACAGCAAGGTAAGAAAATAAATACAAGTCTACGTCAGACTACTTTGATACTTGAGAGATTGAACCTAGGAGCTTTAAGCCTTGAAGCCTCAGAGTCAAAGATATGCAAGCCCATTATTGAAGTTATCCAGTTTGCAAGATATGAAATTAAAATACTTCGGCTAAATAGACTTAACCGAGTCTCCTATTTATTTTGTGATATGTTTTTTTTCTTTCTGAAATTGGCAACTGTTTCTATTTCTGTAAATCAGTACATGGGTTGTACTGATATTTACATAAGGAACTCTAAGAGAACTGTCCTATCCCTATAATGAGTCTAAAACATCAATGATAGTGACAGTTTGATTAGAGTAAATCTGATTACACCAAAAACGCGAAGTCAGATTACAATTACTCTCCCTATTCTCAGAAACTCATGATTCCTCTGGTTCCATATAGTCCACCAAGTGTGCTTGGATTGTTTTTGTGGTAAGAAGTGGGACGAACCTTCATTTTTCTACAGATCTAGCTATGTGCAACAAAAATAACGACTACTTCTCAATTCCAAGCTAGTTGTGGTTGGCTACATAAATCCTCTCTATCCATTTCACTCAATTGGGCATTTTTCACTCCTATGATCAATAATTTGTTGTACTTTAATAATTATTGCTTTTTAGACTTTATTGGCATACGAATATCCAAACAGACTAATTCTTAGCATTTATTGAACTTAATGTAAGCTTACCATCTTGACTAGCTTAAATCACAACTAATTGGTATCACCTATATGAATCTTATGTTTCCATTGTGTTAGTTTCTCGAAAACCTTACATGGATTTTAATAGATTATAGGTCTTTTGGGACAACTTCCTTTCCTTGTGATTTCAGGTTTTATGTATCAACCTTTTATTTTATAAGCTGCTGGTCAAGTCTTAGCCATGAATAGGCAGGAATATGGTCAATGCTTTCTGTTCCATATGACATTGTTCTATCATATTCAGAATCCTGCATGGTTTTGCACTAAATTTTAGTAGTTCCATTTCTTTTTGGAGTAACATTTGTAAGAACAGTATTTGTGGAAAATGGAAATTGAGTATGACTCTTATTACTGCTGTGGATCTAGTCATTGTGGCTCGGCTGCTCCTTTCAAAACAGTTATTGCCGGCCAAAAATGTGTTGAGTCGAAACAACACCTTTTTGTGCTGTATGATTGTTGGTCAGAGATGAAATAAAAATTATTAGTAGATTTATCTGTTCTGGTGATTCGACAAATAAAAAGTAATTGTTCCCTGCCTTCACTTTCCCTTGAAATACTTGCGTTCAGGATGAAAGTTTCTTCAGGAGAAACACCAAGGCTATTGTATGGATATGAGTTATACATCGAACGCCCACCTGGTTAACCACTTATTGAATTGTATCTTAGTTGACCTTGTTCTAGATCATAGATGTAAGATGTTTGATTCCAGCACTTAGCTAAACAACATTTTCAGGGTGATTCCTATTGCATTTTCATCTTCAAGAGCCTACAAATATATGGAGGACTGACAAGATGTTCTTGAACTTGTGATATGGACATGCATTGCGAGTCCTATACTATGGTTATACTGATTGCAATTCTTGTAGCCATGAGTTTTAACTTTGATTAGCCACTTATTTTGTAAATTGACCTGAATAGCATGATTAAATTGGATGCAAATTTGCTATGATATCAAATCTTTTATTCTGGGTAGAGTTTATTCTGACTTGGCATTGTGGGACTGACATGCTGCCCATCTTAATGCTCTATTTTATTCTGATAACCACAGATCAGTATCTGGGACGAGAGAAAAGTCTTTGGTTCTCGAGGGCAGATTCTGAAGGAAGAGTTTGCTGGAAAGAATGTTGGGAATGGAAAGCATAGTGGAGGCAAAGTGGTTGGTCTCCCTTTTCATCCTGATCTTTTGTTCCTGATTTTTTTAGCTGTTCATTCTATTTTCTATATATTTGAAAATGATAGTACCTTCTCATTGAACTCTTTGGTATGCAGAGAAACTCAGCTGGAGATGCCCTTGACAAAATAGTTTCAAGCTATCAGATATTGTATGGTGGTCAAATTGATGAAGATGCGATATTGAGCAGAGCTAAAAATGCTATTAGCTGTGTTGAAAAAATAGATAAGGAGATTGGGAGTGATTTAAATCCAGGTGCCCTTTCTTTTCCACTTGTAATGTGTTCCTAACATAGCTTGGCTTGTCCAGTTCATGTTGCAGTGGCCCAAAAGAAACAATTCATTCCTTTTGCGAGGGTTTCTCTAGTTGCCAGACAATTATCTTCCAATTGAACCATACAACTCTGTTTTGTTTAAATGAATAATTAGTTTTCTGGGGCCAATTACTTGGACTTCCCTTTAATTCCACAAAACTAAATAGACCTCACTAATACATGATAGTTTTCTGCCTAAATATCCGAATTGGATGTCTTTTAGCTTTTGCTGGCCTGCGAGTGAAATTCCTATGCCTAGCTTAAACAAAAGTAGGAAGAAAGGGCTTCCTTCTTCCAAGAGTGTGTGCATGTTTGTGATATTTTACTTCTTTATTTTTGGCTTATCGTCATTTGTTGGCTTCCTTTTTCCCCAAGTGAAGTTTCCTTTTTTCATTCCTATTCCGCTTCTTCCGATTTCTTAATTTTACCAATTAAAAAGCTACATTCAATTATTTTGCTTACATGTCTAGTTTCAAATTATTTGTTTTGCTTCTATATCAGGCTGATTAAGAAGCTCCATAGAGAAAAAAAAACCTTGGGATACCTTATCAGACTGAGAGTCTGAGACGAAACACTTTTTTGATTTCAGTATAAGGACTTGCATCTTTTCATGGAGGAAGACTTATTAGAAAAAAGATCCTCACCAGAGAAGTAAAACTTACTCGAAAAAAATATTAAAAAGGTTAAACATGCTTGAATATGTAATCTCACAGACAGAGGTAGGTACACAACTGCTGAAATAGAAATGGAAATAGGAGAGTTTTTTTATTTTATTTGTAATAGTGGTGTTCGGTTTAGCTCGTGCATTCCTCGACTATTTCACCGGGTACCTACTACTTCCATTCAGCGCAGGCACCGGGTAGCTTTGCCCACCAAGGCTTAGGCAGATTGGAAGAAACCAGTGTTTTTCTTCATCAAAAATAAAGAAAAAGAAACCACAGTGTTTTTGGCGGCTGCTGGAATTTAAACTTGATACCTCATGGTTCTGTACCTTCTTTTTTTAAAACTTCTTTTAGGTGTGGACAAAGATAACTGAGGACCAAGTTTTACTTCTTCAAATTAACAATGTAATCCTAGACTGGTTTGGCAGATATTTTCCTGTTTCTCAAAATTCCAAGATCTTTCACTCTTGACTTTTATTCTCATACAATAACACATAAGTTGACCTATACTTCCCGGTATGGGATCAAGGTCGAGTTAGAATGTGACTACTAAATGTTGGAAATTACCCGTTTTGGATTCTTATGTCAAAATTGTTCTGCTGGGAGCATCATATATGTATTGCTTATTATGACAAAATATCAAATGAAACAGAAAAATGAGGTATCAATTTAGCTAAAAGTTATCAAACACCTGTATCTCTTGAAGTTACTTGTTGTGAGGACAGTAGTTGTTTAAAATTTGCTTAGGGTCATACTGTGTATAATCTTTTTGAAAATAAAAATGTGTTGCCTACCTTTTGCTGTTATGGTAACCAATTCAATTTGTCTTCAAACTCTGGGGAATTAAGGAAACTGTATGTGTTTTATTATTGTAGAGGAGGACATGATTGTGTATAGGATAATTATCTGCAAAAATTGTTATTCCTTTCCTCTACAAAGAAACCTTTCTTCCAAGTCTATTCACCATTAGAGCCATTTATCATCTTTCACAGTCTTACTTAGAGAAAAAGAGAAAGTTACAAAAGCTTTATCCAAGTCGTGTTTATTAGGTAAATGTATAGGGATTTTTTCTAGTCAGAGGAGCCGATTTTCATGGGCATGATTGAATGTTATACTTAACCATACGGTATTGTGGTCTTAGTTTTCAACTATCTAATCCATATTATATTACCTTATTTTTCCTCTGTTGAAATGTAGTTTGATTTGTTTTTCTTTGATACTTGTTTGTCACGCTAGACTTTCTATGATTCTATCGACCTCCTCCCTTTCCCTTCAGGCCATCTTAATGGATCTGGTATAGTGGATGAGCTCAAGGGGCAGCACACAATATTGAAGGACTGTGTTGAGCAGCTAACAACTGTTGAGTCATCCAGGGCAAACCTCATCTCTCATCTCAGAGAGGTCCTCCAGGAGCAGGTTAGTCATCCCATTGTTGTGCATTCTTTCCATCTTTCTGTTTGTTTTTGTGCTTTTACTCCTGATTAAGTGGTCCCATGGGTTTCTCCTCAGGAATATAAGTTGGATCAAGTACGCAATCATCTTCAGGTAAGTAACGTGCTTATTTATATCTGTTGAAATGATCATTGTTAAATTCATGATATACGTCTTTGTGGGATGGCCAGCTGTGTCAGTTTTTGAGTTTTGTAAATGTCTGTGATGCACCTCCTCTTTGATGTGTTATGATATTTTGGTGAACTTTTGATTGTGCTCTGTCATAGATTACATGATATTGGTTTCAAAGAGAATCAAATATAGTTGAGTAGACGATGAGAGATATACCTCATGCTTACTTGCAGAGTTATTTTCCTTTTTTATTTGATAAGAAAAAAATTATAGGGAAGGGAAATCCTATCGGAGCTACCAGCTTTCCTATTCATCAAAAGTCAAAATGTAGAGAAGGAATAGCCAGTGCATTTTTTACTTTCCCAGTAAAGAAGTGATACTTCTCACATTAGTATTGATAATGCTATCCTGCTAGCTTTTCTGGGTTACACATATTCCTAATAAACAGTGTAGTGACGCTTTATTACTTGGATTTTAGGCTGCTCAGTCCCACGCAGATCAGGTTGGCAGTATTTGCGGACAGTTGCTGAATTTTGATGGCAATGGGCAAATCTTGGTTGAGCAGAATCGAAAGGAAGCTAACACCTCCCAAGTTCCACACACATTCATATCTGGAAATCGCGAACAATCTGCTCCAGTGATGTACACTCGACAGGTATCTTATGAAAAATCTGGCAACCTTGATGAAGATATGAAGTCTGCAGCTGCTGCAGTGGCAGCAAAGCTCACTGCATCAACATCTTCAGCCCAGATGCTGACTTATGTCCTCTCATCCTTGGCGTCCGAGGGTGTCATAGGCAACTCAACTAAAGAATCTTCCCATGATAATCAACCGGAGAAAAGGATGAAGCTTGAAAATGACTGCTCTTTTTATGCTCCCCCTCAGAATCCTCAAGAACCCGTCACATTTTTCTCTCAGCCAAATTCAGTGCAACACAATCTTCCAAGCACTGGGGGGGAATCAACTCCAATTGAACCGCCTCCTCTACCATCATCGCCTCCACCATTGGCACCCTTGCCTCCTATGCAGCCATATCCAGTACCTCAGTTCATTCAGACATCTGGGCAGTTGCCTAGTTCAGCATTTGTTTACGCAACAAGCCAGCAACCTTCAACATTGGCTGGTTTTGTCTCTCCTGTGAATGGGATTTCTCCTTTCACATCTTCAATTGCTTATCAAGGTTATTCAAGTGATAGTAGTTTATATAGCCAGTCAATGGCACCGGTTACGCGTCAGTAGGAGAGTTGGTGGTGGTTGGGTTGTTATTTTAGAGCTATAGATTCATACTTAGCTTCTGTCGCTTAACTTTAGGGTTGTTGGGAGCTTTTATTTAATTTGTTAACTAGTCTGATGTACAAGATTAGGCTGTAACTATGTAACTTATATTGTGATTTTGTTTCTAGATTGGAGGTTGTTGGTGTTTATATAAATACTGATCTAGTATTGCAAGTGGTGTTTTTGTATCATCTAAGAGAATATTAATGTTTGTTCAATTGCTAATGGTCATGAACGTATTTTTTGGTAAACAAGCAAGGAAATCAACATTTTTTTTTTTATAATTAGAAAACCTCTCAAGTGGAGAGATAGATTCAATGAATATTGATTTGGGGTGACATATCTCTCTCGGGAGAAGGTAAAAAGAGACATTAATGGAACAAAAGCTGATTAATTCCGCCGTCCTGCTGTTGGTACTAGGAAGAAACCAGTCCACTCACTCATTTTCTCATACACACTTAATTCTCCAAAACAAAGCTTTGTCTCCCTTTTTGTTGTGTTACTCTGCTAATCCCATCAACAAGAACACGTGCCCTCTTTACAACTACTAATTTTCTCCAAAAGCAGCCGTCCAAATTTAAACTTAAACAAAGTACGTAGTAAATATACATACTCCTTAAAAAAGGGAACCATACTGAAAAAGCCTGCTCCTTTTGTCCCTCCACGCCCTCAAAATAGGTGCCAAATCAATGCTAAAATACAACAAGGACATGAGTTACACTTGACTATAAATAATAGCTCTAGTTACATTCTCAAATGAATGAATATATATATTCTCACTCACCAGTCACCACAAGGCTATACTATAGAATGCAGCAGTGTTACCTACAAGTTGTGGAAGAAATGGCTTCAAAGAATGCAGTGGTTATATTCAGCAATAGTACATGTTGTATGTGTCATGCCATAAAGAGGCTCTTGTGTGGAATGGGTGTCAATCCAACTGTTTATGAGTTGGATAATTATAACACCACTTGGCAACAGGCCTTGTTTACTCTTCTTGCCAATTCATCCTCCGATCTGCCTGTTGTTTTCATAGGTGGCAAGCTCCTTGGCTCCATGGACACTATCATGGCTGCTCATATTAATGGCACACTAGTTCCTCTTTTAAAAGACGCTGGTGCTCTCTGGCTTTGATCACCCAATTATTAATTATTTTTATTTTTACTTCGGAAGTCCATCTCTTTTTTTGTTTTGTAGCTAAGGGTCACAAGAATTCAAATTATGAAAAAGGCAATTGTAGTTTGTTCCCATATATATATCATCACTTCCTAATTTGTTTACCTTGTCCTCACCCTTCAATTATTTACCCTTTTCCCTTAACTTATCCGACTCTTTCTTATTGTACTAAAAGGAATGGCTTCAACACTAATACACAACACCAACAATATACCTATGTTATCCCACAAATTACTTTTCAAAGAATAGAGAGAGTTATGTCGTAAAAGTAAAAAGGTTGTTTCCCATCTCATCACTACTAATTCTATTCTTTTTAACAACATTCTATTTTAATGTGCTTGAAGTTACATGGCATGAAGAAGCTAAGTAGGGATTTGAATGAATTCAATAGCTCTTCCGTAAATTCAGTATTTGTATTAGAAAATTAAGTAAATATATATGTATATTAACTTGCGAACCCTAATATCATTACTCTGGTCTCTAATTTTATATTTTAAATTGATTGACGAATTAGTGAAAAGCAAAGTGCTTTCCATGCTTAGAGTTGTAAGTTTGAACCCTAGTATCAACAAAAGCTATTTATATCAATTTCTTTATAAAGTTTTCTATTGAGCTTGCATTCATTTCCTTGTTGAAACACGATGAAAAGAAAATATGGACATGACCCATGATTCTTTTGTGTTATCATATTTTAAAATAAGAATAAATACTGTAATATCATAATAAAAAAGAATAAAACATTTTTACCATTTCTTTAATGAGTTTTTACTTTTTAAAATGCAAGTAACATTGTTCTCTTAATATTCATATTATTTATTAGTGTAATTTTTTCAGATATGTGAATTCTAGATTAATTGGTTAAACATTTTGTTAACTCTTTATGCAATTAAAAAATGTAACTCTTTTTTGGTCAATTTATTAATTATGCATGTATATATTTAGTAAAATAGTGGGTCTCACAATCAGGAAAGGTACAAACAAACCTCATCCATTGATTATTTATCGAAAAAACAAGGAAAGAAAAGATATGATGCAATTCAAATTAACTTATAAAAATAAATAAAATTACAAGATAAAGTAGTCCAAAAACAGAAAAAAGGGATTTATAACTGCTCTCCTTCCCTACGTATGTATATATATACGCCTCGACAGACAGTAGTACTCTCATTATTAAAACCAAAAAGGAAAAAGTAGTCGCTTTTACATTTCTTTCCTTCATAAATTTGGGGTCTAGTCTAGGGTTCCTCCCTCCCTCCCTCCCTCTGTTTTACTGTTTAGTTTTTATTCTTCTTAGAAAAATAATGGGGGAGTTTTGAGTGGTTCAACGCCGTGCTGAACTCAATTTCTTTGTTTGGCTCTGAGGGTAATTTAGGAAGTCAAGTGAAGTTGGAGGTTTGTTTGTTGGAGGTTGGATCGGAAAACAAAGTGAAGACGGTGGTGGGGGATTTCAAATGCCGGAAGAGGACTTAATTGAACTCAAATTTCGGTTGTATGATGGATCAGATATTGGTCCTTTTCAATACTCACCCACTTCCACCATAGCTATCCTCAAAGAGAGGATTGTTGCCGACTGGCCCAAAGGTTTTTTCTTTTTGCTTCCTTTACTCTTCATCTTCGCATCTCTGACGTTTTCTGGCCTCTGCTGTCTTCATCTTCCTTTATGTATACCATCTTGTAATCCCTCTGCTTTGAAAATTTGTTCTACAGGCTAGCCACCTGCATGTTTTGTAAGTTGACTTTTGTTAGATTATGTGCTATACACAGTTTTTTGAGTGCCTTGATATATAGTTATAACTCTGTTGTGATAATTTCTAAATGGAACTACGCAAAGGCGGATTTATTAGTTACAATGTTTATTGTCAAGTAGAGAATCCAAAAGTGCTAGTGTTTGTTGCAAATGCCTGATTGTCAAGTAACCACAGAGAGTATCTTTCCCCGGAATTTTATGAGGCAACAATTGTAGTGAGGTATTCTTTGTTTTATAATGAAGTAGATTTAGTTAGTTTATCCATAACTAGGGTAAACAAGTAGCTCATGGAGACATATACCTTCCGTGAAGTTGTGAACCCATTTCGTCCACCATAGAACCTTATCTAGCATACTCTTAGTTAACTCATTCATATAAGCCAAACATTCTTGCACCTATGATTGTTCATGAAGGCAATGCATTCATACATACTACTACAGTTATATATTCTAGTGTTTAGATAATTCAAACATAATCAACCTATGATTCACAGTGTGGAAACCCCGCAGGGATATATTGATTATCCATCTTTAAGATCAAAATCAACACCATCACTGGACTGACTCAGATGTAGATCTAATGTGACCATAGACATTCTGAATTGCATGATTGATATTGTCTTACGTGAAAAGTAGGATATGTATGCCAAGTGTCAGATATGTACTGAATTATACAAGTGTATTATACTCATACAATGCATACCATTGGAGGCTATCCAAGGGTACTTATGACAGCCTTGCTAAGTATTTGTTGAGAGTACCAAGAAATATGAAGAGAGTATCTGTAGAAGGGAACTTGATAGCTGGATCTTCAAGGTAATGACACCAAATCAGAAATGATTCTCATTGAAGATTGACAAGCATTTTGGTCCCTACTCATTTTGCCTGGGAATGCTTGAAGAAAAACCCACAGACCTTAGGAGTTCTTGGTAGTGGATAAGCGCATCGTTGTCAAAGGCCAGAAGCGTAGAAAAGCACCATGATCTATTGGTTCTTAGCTAGGCACAATCAAAGGACATTGCTCAATAGGTGCTGACCAAGAGCAAAATCAAACAATTTATATCGGATACCAGGAAAATAACTATATGGATAATAATATAGGAAAAAATGCTATATTAAATGATGTCAAAAAATGTTTAAATACCGTACGTTAAGTCTCCCATTTGTGGGATTACACCAGTTTGTTGTTGTTGTAGGGCGAGTCTAAGTGAATCTTTTGATGAGGGACTTTTGGATCTGAAGATCCTGGACGAAAAAGTCCCTTCCCTCCTGCACACTCAATTAAAAGGTCTCTGTATTAGCTATAGGTAAAGTTCTTCTAGAGTCAAAGTCAGGGGCACAAGACAATGCTCCTTCAGAACTAGAAGAGGCAGTTTTATGTTTCTATACTTAATGACTGAACCTTCAATATGCCTTAAATTCACTCCTATCGAACTGGGGATAAACCCAAGACCAATATATTTTCAAATTATAAACATATATTGGTAGAGGTGATTTAATTTTGATCCTGGTAAAAACCACCTTAATGTTTGCTCTTATACCGTGCAAGAATGTGAATAGACATCTGAATTTTGACATTTGACATTTGACATCTTCCTCTATATCATGCTTTTCCCACGGTCCATTTTTTTCTGCAGGGATTTGTGAAAACGGGTTCTTCATCCGAGCTGGTTTATTATATGGTTACTAGGCTATGTTTTGATAAGATTCAGCTGCTTTTACTGCAGATAAAAAAGTTGCACCTAAGGTGGCAAATGATGTAAAATTGATATGTGCTGGCAAAATTTTGGAAAACAGCAGGACTGTTGGTCAATGCAAGACACCTTTTGGCGAGCTACCAAATGGTGTAATTACCATGCATGCTGTTGTACAACCATCTTTAGCTAAAGCAAAGTCAGGTAGGTTCCCCTTACTACGCAATATGTTGTCATTCTATGTCTGTTTTGAGCAACAGTGTTGCAAGTGCGAGTCTTATTTCTGACCTAACATGTGCCTAACATATTTATGCTGGAGATGTCGATTGTCTCTGATAAGATTTTCTGAAGATTGGCATTTCTCTCAAGGCAAGAATATAAGGTGTTCAGATATTGTTTAGTTGCAATCTTTCATATGTGGTATGGAGAAATGTGTATAGTTATGAGAAGAAAGAAGGTGGTTGTGATGATTTGACATTTTTGTGATCCCATCTATAATATTTCTTCTACTTTGAAGTTTGAACATTATACTTGTCAAACAGATTCAATGAACTTATGTTCACTAAATTAGCAACTATCCTTCACGTTTAACACTTTTGTCTATCTGTGAAAGATGCAAGTATACACCTAAGGGTGTGACCTAGTGGTCAATGAAGTGGAATTAGAACCATGGGTCTCATGTTCATATAAAAGTGGAGGCGAAAACACTAGGTGATCATATTCGGTATGAGGTGCAAGTGACACATTTGGAGGATAAAATGAGAAGAAGTCACTTGAGTGAATTTAATGAAGTCCCATATTGACTACCAATGCACCGGTCACTAACTGAAAGTAGTAAAAAAAGGTGAGGTAGACCTAAAGTCATACAGAAGAAAGTTATCTTGAACTACCATCTCTCAGAATCCATGTACACTCTGCAAATTATGGCACAATGGAAGTAAAATATCCACATACGGTTTTGATTATGAATTTATACACCAGTAAAAATGTTGAGAATCTAAATCTTCAAATAGTTGATTGATGCGGGTCTAAATGGGAACACCATGGTTAGCGGGGATCCATATAGCTGACTCTAGCTAGCTTGAAATTGAGGGGCAGTCGATGATGTTGCATCTTTTTCATCACACTTATTTGGTTTATTTTTTCTTTGTTGTTATTTTGCTTATTTTAACTTCTTCACCTGCAAGTAGTGCTACTTTTTGCTTTCTATTTTGTGGAATTATCTGAAGACCTGTGAGAGAATTGCTATGTTACAATTGTGTGCATAATTTCTTTTTTGCTACAATTGATATAATCTTCCACTATTAGTGTGACCTGAGATTACCGCAGACTCTGAACTTGTAGAGCAGCTACGAATTATGGGCTTCCTAAGTTCTTAGGAGTTTTGTTCTACTTGTTGAAGTTGCAAATACTCAAAGCTGGAACATTTGTATCGATGTGCTTATCTTAAAACTAAGAGAGAGCTCTGTATTTGAAAATCTTTGGTGGCCCTGTTACACCCTATTCCCTACTCCTGCCCCCGGTTTTTAATCTTCAGTCCAAGCATTGTGTTGTTGAGCCATTGATGTCTTTAATCTTTTCCTTTATTGCTTCTGAGACTTGTCTTTCTACAACAGAAAAGAAGATTATCGAGAACCCAAATCAAAGCATCTGTTCATGCTCCATATTGTGAGATTGTAAGTGATTCAGTTTGATCTTGTGGTATCATTGGGTTACCTGCACTGTGAAGTTTAGTCTGGACTCTCTAGCAATAATTTGTATGATACCTCATTATTACATGTTTGTTGAAAAGCATTTGTAACTATTGCATGTTCTTATGATCACGTTTGTTCTATAAAGTTTGTATCTTTATACTTGTAGTCACATATTTCTCATATAAAAAATACACAGAGAAGGCTGTGGAGACACGCAGAAGGATTTTTAGCTGTAATTTTTTTTTTTAATACTAACTTGTTTACCCTGGTCATCACGTGTCTATGTACTTGGACCATCTTGTGAAGAAGATGTAAGATTAAATATATTTATGGATTCATGTTTTAGTCAATAACTGATATTAGTGTGAAATAATGCATGGCATGTCAATGGAGATTACAGTATGTTAACGGGGTACAAAGTAAAAGAGAAGACGATCAGATCGATGGATATAGAAGCTCATTCCCTACCGGCATCTAATCTTGTTGTGTATTCCAATCAGTGCAGCTTCTCTGTTTGTGGCTCTCAGCTACAACTTAGCTTTGGACACCAAAAAGGTATCTGATCTTGAGAGTAACCACGTTGTTGGTTCTGATAGAAAATGACAGCATTTTCATTTAACTGCAAAGAAACGAGTTGATGTGGCAAAAAATCTTTTATGGTCTCGATCGATTATTCATTTCCTCCGTTTTCTATTTCATACCGACGCTTACCGGGCTCTACATGACTTTTCCAATTGCAGCCTTTAAAATATGAGATCTAAAATTAGTATATTGATGATGGAAATAACTCATAATTGAAACAAATTGGCAAAAAATACTTTTAAAATTGCAATGACAGTGTGGAGCAATCTATCCTTGGCCTTGTACGGTATTAAATGGAATGATTTGAGTTTAATAATTGAGACTCTTTTTCTTTTGATTTAAGTCATACTAATATTGAGAAAAGTAATGAAATGAAATCAGCATCGCCATGCAGAGGCAGCAAGAATGGCCCTATCTTGCCATCCCAATAGCAAGCAACCATTGTCCTCTGTCAATTTGTAACCATCACAGGAGTAGAGACCCAGTAATATTTTGGATTGTGTGACTGCGTTTGCACTCAGTGCTACTCCTTTAAAACCTTTTCCTTCCATCACCCTCCTCCACTTTTCTAACCTCTCGTGCCGCACCATTCTCTCCATTCCCTCGCACGAAACTATGTTCATTATCTCAGGTCCAAATATGTACTGTTCCAATTTTGCCCTCTGTGATGAATCCCCTGGAAATGTCGCGTCCAGGGAATCAAAGATGGCCGAATAGTAATGCAGCGCCTCCAGGAACCGACCCAGGAAATACGGTCCATTATGGCTCGCCTCTTGCTCCACGATCGTTACTATATTTGGGGCTTGGTCTCTGATCATCCCTAACAAGTTCCCAATACAATTGCCTGGTACTCGATGCAGTCGATTCACCGAATTCACCGCCAGTGCCTCACCTATCCTTCTGTTGAACATATGTGCTTTCAAATCCTCAAGCTGCTCCCCCACCGGGTGAAATTCGAACGGAACGTGGAGGGACTGCGCCAGTTCTGTCAAACATCGACCCGTTTCCCTCACCGCTTCCGGAGACGAACCCACTCCTGTGATACGAAGGAACGGAGCACCGCCAGGTCGGGCTGCTAAGGCCTGCATAAAAGCCGGCCACTGATAACCTTGAAGGATGTCTAAATCGATAACATGAACGCGCTCCTCTGCTTCGAATGCTTCAAATATGGCTTGATTAGCTGTGAAATGAGCGAATTTGACATAAGGGCAGGCTTGGTAAAGAATCTGATAGATCTTGAGGATTTCGAGGGAATTAGGAGGAAAAGGGTTGAAAGGTTTTGGGACAGAGGTGCTGGGTTTAGTGGCTAGTGTTGCGGCAAGTCTAGCTGTAAGAGCTTCGGTGAAGCAAGAAGCCACTCGTTGCATGGAGTCACCGATTGGGGTGACTACTCGATTCAGGTGGTGGAGATACCTTCTTGCCAACATATAGTCCTCTTTGGAGACTGCTTCAGCACAAGCAAGGAGAAGGTGCACCAATTGTAAGCCACTGTCCTGATCCTGCATCTGCACAATTTAATTACCACTTCTTTAGCCACCTAAGCGTTGCTATCTGGCGAAACATGAGCAATAGTTTATATTTGTAGCTGATTCAAAGAGTCCAATTTTTTGGAATGACAAGGACTAATTTCCTTTCATATATAATAAAAAACTTTTGTCCATACAAAGAGGGACAAATTGCACGGTGATAAGCCCGCCATATAATTCACTATAGACTTGGTTGGTTTCTTATATGCATTTAAAAAGAACTAAAACAATTGTTGTGAAGCTGGAACATTCAACACTAAAACACAAGCATTGGAATTTTGGAAAGACAGTATGATATATATATATATTTGCATGAGAGCTAGAACATACGGTTTCACAAAAACTGTGGTAAACCCTTGATAAGTGTCATTGCATGAGATTTAAGAAAGGAGAAACAGAAAATTATAGATAAAGTATACCTGATCAGGTGCAGCAACAACCAAGTTGTGATTGATAATTTGCGTATATTGTTGTTGTGTTGATGGTAGTTCAACATGTGTTGGTATTTGTTTTTGTTGCTTCTCATGCTGCCGTTCTTGATGTAGCTGTTGTGACAGAGGAGCAATAGACCCCGTCTGGAAAATCTCATCGTCTTGGTTCAGTACTTGTCCTGTAGATGTGTTGCTGAGTAATGATCCCATAAAGCTACCGGACGTATTGGATGATGAATTTGGCAACGCCAGGCACTCTAAGAAATCAGGAATTACCGACAGAGCATCAAATGAGTCGGAAGAGGATCCTGCTGCACCACCATCTGAAACTTTGAGGGTGGAATATGAGGATGCTAAATCCTCCTTGTCATAGTCATCATCCAAGAAACTCTCGAGAGCTGGCAGGTTAAAGCTCTCAATTTGCATGAACTGGTTATTAGGAGAGTTGAAAACTTTTTGGAGCGGGCTCAGTCCCTTGCCTTTATTATTCGAGTTGTAATTATTAGGTCTCAGGGGAGAGCAAGGAGGGGAGCACATCATCATGCTTTGCCCATGAATTCCCTGATGATGTGCGTATATGTTGTTATTGTGAGTAGTAGTACAGAAACTGGAAACAGGCTGAGGCAAGGGAAGGTTCCTGACGGGGGAAGAGATCATGAAATCTCCCTCCAGCTGATCAGCAAAGAAGGACTCCCAAATTGAGTTATCAGGAGATTGGATTTCAACATCATCGTGGCCTTCAAATTTGGCAGGGAAAGTGAGACTGCCACGATTGAGTTCAAAGTCGGAGGAGATAGGAGTCACATTCTTGGATTCAGAAGAGGCAAGAGAGTCATCTGGAAGCAGCTTGCTGTAAGAATTCTCGCTCTTGAAACTTGCTATTTCACTGTTTAAGCTGCCAACCTCACTTTTAATGTCATTCTTTAAACTCCCCATGTTGCCACCACACAAAGAATTGTTCATCACACGCATTCACTGCAGGACCTGCTTTTTGCAGTCTTGTGTTCTACTGATGAATCAACCTTTATTATTATTATTATTATTATTATGATTTGATGTCGTATATAATTAGAAATGTGAAGTTGACATAAAATGAGAGTGAGTTGTGAAGATACAGAAGATGTAAATTGGTTGCAAAATCAGGCGAAAAGGAAAAGAAAGAGATTTTTATAGGCGAGAGTTGAGAGTTGAGAGGTTGTCATTCGTCAGCTTGTCCAGACTGTAGCATCTGAGGGAGGGAGGAAAAATCTGTGGCTTTTTCATTTTTACATGTTTGGGAATTAGTGAATTTTATCGACTTGAAAATGGGATTTGGAATTATACCTTTTATACTCTTACTAACATTTTCCATCACCTGATTGGTTGATTCCACTTCATTTTATTATTTTATGTCTTAAACTATCTGCATATCTAAAGGAAGTTTCGTGGAGAGGGTGGGCTCCATCCTGGGCCGGCCCAGCTGACGTTGAATAAGAAGCTAAGGATGAGTTAATACCATAAAATAAAATAATGGGAGTATAGTGAAATCCGCAAGAGGGGATTGGTCGAAGCGGTATGAAAGGGATATTATTAGATAAATGCAATGCGTCTTTCTAGGTTAACAATCAAGTCACTTCCCACCACCCCAAGGCCAAAACTACTTAACAAATCCACCCACCAATTTTCTGAAATAGAAGAATGACTTACAGTGCTAATGGAGTACTAATTATCAATTCTACCCATACTTTTAACTAATTATCAAATCTATTAATTTTACTTTGTATATCTTCGCACTCTATCGATTAGAGTGAATAAATACATATGACAAAAACATAGTGAAGAATTGAACAAACATAGAGTGAAATAGATAAAACCTAAACTCTTCCTATGTAATGTAATTTTTTTAAACTCTACCAATTTCAGATAAATACAGGGCATGCATATGTTTGGTCTGTCAGATAATCTTCTCTTTTCTGAACAATTTTCTATTGTGTTTGTGTTTTTTTAGGTAGCATTAATGTGAAAAGAATATGATTACAAACACGGGCTGAGCTAATTGGGAACCCAATAGCTTTTTCGTAATTGTATTGGTATTAGAAAATTAAATAAATATATATGTACATTAATTTGTGAATCATCTAACAAAATGGCTCAGTGAGGAAAATGTTGTGGAAATGCTTTCCATGCTAGAGTTGTGAATTTGAAACCACTAGTATCAACAAAATTTTCTCTTCTTTTGTTAAAAGGAAGCATGCTTTTAGAACCCCCAAACTCCTAATCTTGGCACAATCTCTTATTGCAAATGAGTTTGAGTCACATATACATTGGTAATGTTAAAGATTTTTTAACACTATTGGCGCTTACGATACCAAGCTTGATCTTAAGAGTTATCTGTGGTGTTATTGTGGTAAACTTAACTTGGTAATGTAGTTTTTTTACACTATCAATGCACGGAACATAAATTCTGTATCAATATATAGTAAAAATTCTAAGTGCATCAATCTGTAAGATACAGTTTGACTTAGCCTAGTTTTGAAGTCCCAATTGTACAACGCATGCATATACATGGGAAGGAAACTATTAAGGTGGTATCTATATAAGTCTTGTTGTAGCTCCCTACATCTTTATATTATTTTTCGTTCATTGAACTTTAGTGTCAGACCAAAATATAGTTTCAGCACAAGGTTATTACTACCAATTGTCAATTCGAATATAATCTCTCTATCTGTATTTGTTCTAACTCATGATAAAAAGACACTCAAGCATATCTTTTTTTTTGTGTGTGTTTCTTGAGTTTTAGAAGGAAGAAAATAGACTCTCAACGCATTTGGATTTTCTCCTAGATATGAAGAGTTTCTTTTCTTTTTCAGTAGCATCTACATGATCTTCAGGCCAACGTTTTCCTTCATTTGAGCGGAATCACAATCACGCTCCGCACATGCCTTAAATTTTTTCTTATTAGCGGCTCAAAATTGCACAACCATTACTAGAAGTTACTATTTTCTCTATGAATTCCCCACTAAAAATGTTTAAGGGCTATTCTCACAGATATTTTAATTGAATTAGTGAGAAAAAATAGTAATGTTTTCATACATAAAAATTTAAAAGTTACCTACTATTTCAGTGATAATCTATTTTAGCTGTGCTTTTTCCTAGTGAGCTGATTTGGCGGGAAATTAATGGAAAAATCATGTTCTATAACACAAATTTTCCATTGATTTGAGATGAGAAAAATAGGAAAAATCCTTTTGGCTAGAAAATTTGGCCAGAATGGTAAAATAACATATTTCGCACTATGTTATTTTACCTTTTTAAACATTTTTACCCTTTTAACTTTAACAACTTTTAATTAAAAATAGAAAAAGATCAGTTTATTTTAAAATAAAAAGGATATTATAGACTTTTTAAATTTCTAATCAAATTTTCTGGCCATTTAACACTATCCAGAAAAATATTTGTTTCAAGTAGTAAACCATACAGTTAAAAGTTAGTAATAAATAAATAAATACAGAAAACTATGCAATGAGGCCACTCTTGTATGGTGGGGGGATATTGAGCTAATCGCTAGGCTACTGCAAACTCCTAGGTTTTGCACTTTAATTTCATATATATATATATATATATATATATTTTTGTGAAGAATACAATACCAACTCATCAGTATGATAGATGATTACTATGCTGTATTGCTGTTTATCAGTTCAAAGAATTGCACAACTCCTCCTGCTACCTTCATTTTTTTTTTAAATTCTCATGAAAGTAAGATGTAGAATTATTGCCGTTGTTGAGCTAGTGTTTAATTCGAACTCAAAAGCTACAAGTTATGAGATGAGCTTTGCCGATTATAATATATATGTGGAGCATAAACATTTATAACACATGTTTATTTGAGAATGGTAGAAATGTAATGTTAGGTTGAGTTGTAACCTTTTAGCTTTAATTGGAAAATTATTAGAGTAATTCGCAATTAGTATTGAAACGAAAATGTATGTGCTGAGTTTCGGCAAAAAGTAGAGTAGCCGATCGAATATATATTATAAAAAGGAATTAAACATTAAAATTACAAGTGTTAGCAAAGGGAGGGGGAAAATGTTTAACTGAGAGGATACGTAAGTAAAACAACTCTCAAGTAAATTTGTTATAGCATAATGTTCTTGAATTGATCGACTTTGGAATATAATAGAAGAAGAAAGTAAAAAAGGGGTGGATAAATAGTAGTAGTAGAAAATTGATAGCATCGTCTCATGTGGCGTCGTTTGGGATGGTTGCCTTCCTTTCTCTTTCTTGTGAATTAAGTCGGCATTTTTCTATTCACTAATTTCCCATCTCCGCACCTTATTTTTTACCTACTCGATAAATACATACTTGATAAAATTATATTACGTTACGTTCCTCAGCTTATATATGACAACTTATTATGACGTAATTCCAATACACACTACTTTGAAATATACATATATTACCAACTTTTTTTTTTACTTTTCCAGTGAAAAGTATATAGAGCTTATAATTTGTTGCTAATTAATGAATTTTGATATTTTCTTATTTGTAATTATAATAGTCGTGCAATTGATTTTAAAAATATTTCTATAATGTAATAAATTTAATTTTCCCATCACAGAAACACTAGTTTACAAACATATAGAGCGGCAACAAAGTTAGGGTCACGTGTAATAATATAACTACAAAAAAGGTATTTGACCTCGTCTAATTAAGAGATATTTACTACTTTTGTCTTGTTCATCTTTTAAAGGAAAACGATAAATATATATAGGTATTTAACACTACTACTCCTATTTGTTTTGAGATGTACCTGTGAAATCCATAGATTTTTACGACGCTTCACGCAATCATAAGAAATGGACTACTTGAATAGTAATAGTACTAATATTTATAAAAGAAAATAATCATATGTGAATTTAAAAAAGAAAGACAAAAAACAACGAATACACCAAGGACCAAACAACATAGAGAAATCGAAGTCTAATTATACCAATTTTTTTTATTAGTATTATATACACAATACACACAAACATGTTCCATCAATTTTTGCACGCTCTCAACTTCTTATATATAATGCACTTCACCTAACTTTAAATTCAGTTATGCAGTGTATTGAATACTATTTTGTTATTCTATCAATGTTTCATTTCAACTTGGAAACAAATTCAACTGATTTGCTTTTTTAATCATAATAATAAAACATAAAGGTGCAATGTTTAATATGCATTTGCCATTTTTCACCTATGACCAAATAAAAATTCACAATCAGAAAATTATGATAGATGTCAAAATTTATAAGTAACATATTATTTGGGAGTTATGGACTTGAAAAGATATAGAAGTAATGAAGATTATTAAGAGTAGAAGTTAATGAAGATGTAAATCATGTGTGATCAGTTAAAGGTACAAGATTAATGATTATTAGCAATAGAGTAGAAGTTATGAAAATAAGAGGTATGAGCTACTATGGAGTGACATTTTAAATAAAATAATTATGAAAAATGAAAAATACTTTAAAGTAGATTATCATGTTATAATTATATATGAAATGGAGAGAAAAATGTCAAAAAAGGAGAAGAAAAAATACAATCCAAGACCATAGAGAAGTGTGGCGTCACATAACTTTAGTATATGAATAGAGTTGTATATATAGTAAAAAAATCGTATAAACTGTTTATACTGAATTAAGAAAAAGTAAGAATACTTATCAACTTTTTGAATTCTATAAAATGTTTTAGTACTTTGTTGTTTTTAGTAAAAGAAGTAGACTACGATTTTGTGATATACAGAAGATTAAAAAAACACTAGGATCAATCAGCACTTGAGTGAAACAACATGAGTAAATGAATGATATATGTACACACAACTAATTTATAGGATTTCAATTGAATATTTGTTCATCTGCAAAGAGAAAAAAGGAAGATTAATAATTGTATTTTTACAGATGTATAATATATCTCTAGCTACTACAAGAAGAAGAAAAAGAAATTGATAAAAATAATCCATGGGAAATATATACAGTTATCATAGATTTTGTCTGTTGATTGGTATGCTAACATACAAATGGAAAAGCCACATTTCTGACTTTTTCCTTTTTTTTTCTTTTTGGATACATATATAATGAACAATTGTATGCTAGTTATTAATTTATTGTACCTGAAATATGATTTATGTGGACCATGGTTCCACCTTCATTCTGTTAAATTAGGGCTAGCGGAAAATTGCTTAAATTATTATAATGTGAAGTGAAATTCATTTCATTCATCACATGAACATGCATCCCAAAAAAAAAGAAATACTAAAAATAATTGGAAGTAAGCATAGTTATTTATGAGATGTTGGAAGAAATAATTATTTTACAAGTTTTGGAGGAGATGAATAAAAGTTTTTAGTAATTAACATTTAAATAACTAGCTCAATAGCCTAGCTAGTTCCGCCATGATGTATATATAGCCTAATGAAGTAGGTAGTGAGTCGAGAATAGTGTACAAGTATAAAGTGGAATATATAGTCTATACATTGTGAATGAAATGTAGCATACATTAGGCCACAATAATAGTACATATTTCAAGTTTCAAAATGAGTGATCTCGCCATACATTGGCACATGCATGCATGCATCTTCAATTCCTTCTTGTTGAATTATATTAGTCCCTTCTTTTCTGTGCCTCTTTTTTACTACTAGTCTACCAGCTAGCAGCATTACGATTAGTCTACATTTCTTTGTAAGCTATTAGTAGATTGATCAACTTTTTCCATTTATTAACAAAAAAATGCAGCTGCTACGCTGTCATCACGAGTACTCATGTATTTCGCCTACCCTCTTGCTTTGTATAACTTTTGACAAATTCAAGTTTAACATTCAACGTCAACGGTTCAAGACCAAACCAATAAAAAGTCGAAATATAACCTAAGACGTGAATACGTTTTTCCCTTCAATTATGTTCCAACCCACGTGAGATAGTCCACAAAATAACTACTTTTCTTCCCTCTATTTTGGGTGGTAATATGATTTGTCCAATCTATTTATTTATTAGCTCAACTCGTTAATTCAGCCTCTAAATTAAAACTCGGGTTGATTTTTGCTAAATATGTAATTCAAATTGATATATTTCTTTTTCTTTTTTATAGAGTCATATATAGTAAAGAATAAAAACTTTGTTAGTTTTGTTTGGTAAATGAACAAATTATAAGCAAACAAACCAAGAGTAATTTTTATTTTTGGTTAGAGTTGGACGAGTTGAGTTGTTGTTGACCCAATCCATATTTATTAGTTGGGTAATCCACTTAAATTCAATCTAACCGATAATTCCAGTTTTAACTAAGCTCAATAACGTAGTCTTTACATTAGGCTGGCATGTGGGAGTGGACTACGAAGTGCATATACAACCGATTTCAATAGCCCATTTACGTCATAGCCCTAAACTTTTTGCAAGTTTAGCTGCTTTTAAATTTTTAAATTTTAAGTGCACGATTTTGAAGTAATATGTGTCTGGAATTTAGTTTATCAAAGCCTAATTTCAGACAATTTAGAAGGAAACAACTTCAACCATTTTGGATGATGTTTAGACCGTATATAGCTGAAGTTTAGTCATTTTTGTATGAAATTCAGGCTATATATGTGACCGACCTTGAACAATTTTTTTTAAAAAAAGATCAGGCTCTATATATATATATATATATGACTTAACTCACTTGATGTTAAACTTGTAAGTGATGTATGATACTCTCTCTCAGTGCGCTATTGCTTGTAACATTGTAATTCATAAGAAACACGATTTGACACCTTTATAATCTCAGGAAATTATGATTGATGGAAGTAGAAGAATGCATCCACAAAATGAAAACGAGAATGAGAAATGAACTTACAATAAATGTGGTTGGCTGAATTCTTTGCCTCTATGATATATCACATGATTCTCAGTAGCAACAATCCTTCTCTGTGGCCAGACCAAATTTATAACAGATATGGGGAGAGTGGCAAGTCCGTGACTGGCTCCTATTGGGGTTAGGTCAAATAATAAATGGTACTGTAGCAGTAATTTATTTATACTATATATAAAGTAGTATCACGTTAAGAAGCAAGGCCACCATAAATTACAACAAACAAACATGTATGAAAAGGGAGGTCTATTTATTCCTCTATGTAAATGAATGAATTTGTCTACTTCCCACTATACTCTCTTTCCTACACATCCACCCTTACAAAATTCCAAAGAAAGTTCACATGATTTGTTTGTTCGTGAATTCTGACTAGCAATAAGGTGCGATCCCTGTCCCCTCTTTCTAACTTTGATCTCTTTTTTTCATTTCTGTCATCACTTATACTCATTATCCATACACACACTCTAGCTCACATCTTCCTTTTTTGTTTTTAAACATAAAATTCTTCAATTAGTCTTTTTGTGTACTATAATCAATCACTTTACTAGCTAGCTATTCACATATAAGTAGTTGATTTTCATCTCAACTCTTTTTTGTAAGTCTCAGCTCAGTTTGCCATGACTACTACTACACTTGTCCTGTTGGTGGTTTCATGCTGCTTCTTGTGGTTGAGTCTATCGTCAGCAGCAAAAGTGGTTAATCCACAGATCACTGTCATGGGTATGGTTTACTGTGACATTTGCTCCAATAATTCCTTCTCCAGGCACAGCTACTTCATGCCAGGTACACTCTTCCTTACAAGTTTTTGGGCAAATTAAACATTTTTCATCTTTTGCATAAAGCTATCTAAAATAGTCCTATATATACACTGGAGTTGGCAAATGAACAGGTTGAACGGCTCAAAGCTCTAACCACCCCCATTTCCCTTTCTTTAAATTGTTTTTAAAAAAAAAAGAAATTTGAAAGCTATATGCTTTAACTTCTTCCAAATTTACAATATCCCCAATCTTGAATTTTATATACTCGGGTTTGAGTTGAATTTTGACCCGTTTGGTCAATCATTTGGGTTCAACCCAACAAATGGGTCATAATCCAAACCCATTAAAACTTGGCCGGGTTACTAAAAAAGAATGGGTTGATTAATTTCGTAAATGCATTGGAATTGATGGCTGAACAGGTGTAGAAGTGAAAATAGAGTGCACCTTCAAGGCAATGGCGACAAGGACGGCAGAACTAGTATCAGTGTCAGTGAACAGAACTACTAACAAATATGGAGTTTACAGGTTGGAGATACCTTCTGTGGATGGAATAGAGTGTGCTGCTGAGAAAGCAGTGGGCAATTCCTGCAGGGCTAGCCTTATTGGAAGCTCATCTTCTTTCTGTAATGTACCTGGCTCTACAAGAACCACTACTGATGAGATTACAATCAAATCTAAACAAGCAAACATGTGCATCTATAGTCTCACTGCTTTGAATTTCAGACCTTCTAAGAGAAATGTTGCTCTCTGTGGAAATTAGAACTCCAACTATCTTATTTCCTTATTATATGTCTTCTCTCATTCCCATTTATAGGGAATATATAATATGTATAATTCATGTCCCTTTTTATTTCCAGTAATCAAAAGCTATGCTGTTAAATACAACCTCATCTTTTTGTTTTTGACCAGAGGAACTGTTGTTAGCTGCTTAATTGTTCTTGATGGAAAACACAGAAACAAGGTTCAAATTTGTGTCGTGTAGCTCTTTGGACATAAGAATCTCCTTTTACCTTCTACTGATATGACAACTCTATACTCTCATCACTTGATTCGAACACCAGAGCTCAGAATGCTAGCTGCTATTAACATAAAAGTTTTTACTGAGATGAAAATAATACTATGCCTTGATCAACTGCAATAACACAAAACAAAAATTACAAGCCTAAGCATGGCATAACGATTCCTTTGACTCATTGCTACCAAGAAAATTTCCAATTTAACTCCATCTAATATCATGAATAATTTAAGCAGCAATTTCATCGCAAATTCAAACCTTAAGATGCATAAGCCATTTTCAACCAGGGAGGTGGATAGACAAGGAATATCAAGTTAATATCTGGATAGAAAGTTAACAAGCATCAAACGTAGCTCAAGCTGTTATACATTTGTGAGAATTAGTTCACAACCTCCTCTTTTGCCTGCACCAGATTACGCAATAACCTGCTTATGTTTCCGCACATATTTAAACACTTCACAAAAGTGTAGGAATGGAAAGCAGTTCCAATTAGCAATATTTTACTTCAATATTGACTGTACAAATTCTACAAGCCTTAAAGAATTTCTGCTCGACTAAGATAAACCGCAGATGCAGTAAAAACATTCAAGTATGACACGTCCTGTCTCTTTGAGATTTTTTTAGCAAAATACAGTACAAGAGCTTCTTTTTGAATGCTAAAGAGTCATTTCCAGCACGTCTTGATCAGTACATTTCCAAGCTTTTCTTTGAAAAGAAGCAAAAGCTTAAACAATTGATGGACATGTAAAAATCATGCCTGACCACACTTGCTTAGGCATGCAACTCCCTCTTCTAAATAATCTTGTCTATTGATCCAAAACTCAGGGGCATCCTGCAGAAATTATTCGATTATCTACTTATTTCTGTTAACATAATAATGTTGCTTTCAAATTGTATGCTCTTCAATTAGGGTGTGCATTGATTCATTGCAATCCTTTTCCTTTTTTCGCATATTGAAAAAAAAAACTTAATAATGCTCAAGGAGAAGAATGACGAGAATGATTATTTTTTCTAGGTGAATGAGCATCCTGACTAGAAGAATAGGACAGCAAGAATAATTTAAACATGGAAATATACCAGTCACTATGATTTCAGCATGATATAAAACAATTAAGTTACAGCATAAAATTTTTTACTTGCTCAACTAAGTGGACTTTTATTTAATTAAGTTACATTCAGCCACAGGAACATCTCTCATACACAGATGATTTGATCAATTGCAGAGGAAGTACAAGAAAAAGAGAAGGATTGGAGTGACGTGAAACACAAATTTCCTTGTGCCTGAAGCTGATGATTGCACGGGCCTAAATCATATCAAAACAGTATAATCCAACATGTGCCGCAACCACTTCAACGGAGGACAGAAATAGAATATTCAAATCCAGAAAATTATGGGAAAGTGTACACGGATTAGAAAAGGATGTATCTCAAGAGATTAGCTTTCTTTTTATTTCTCATGGGAATAAATACTCTTCTATATGCATGATCAGGCAAGGAGCAGAGATGGGGCAACAGAGAGGAAATAGATACCACCATACCTTCATAATTCCGGCCAGAACTGCACCACCGAGATACACCATATGCTTTCTTCTTGGTGGATCTTCTATTCGTAAGCGCAATTTCTATTGCAGAAAACATATAAAATGAAATTTTCAAAAATAGAGAAAATTTCAACTACTGTAAGAAAACCAAGAAATGCATGGTAAAAGACAAAACAGTTGTAGGCAATGCAATCCAACTTCCTAGATATCATAAACCCTACACATCCTGTTCCAACTACTTTCTTATCTCCATCTCTTGATTGACTTGACCTCATATAGAGCAGAAACCACCATAAGCTGAAGGTACCAGTGAGATCGAGGTATTTTATTGTGGTTTGTGGGTAAGACTATTCGAATAAATGCTACTTAGTTGCATAAACCTTATTCATAAACCAAAAACCTCAAGAAATTGTGAAAAGAACAAATAAGAGTCACACAGTACCTTCAAACCATCTTTGTTCCCCTTCAGAACAACATCAAGATAGCGGTCCAAAATTTCTTTCTCAAGGCTGTCAATGTTTGAAAAGAAGGGAAAATAGCTGTTATTCAAGGAAACAAGAAAATGATGAGTGTGGACATGAGGTGGGTAAGAAAGAGTCCATTCCTTATATTCCCACAGTAAACCAAAGGATATGTTAACTGCAAAAGTAAAGTTCAAGGGAATAAATCACAAAGAGATGAAATTCCTTCTCGATGACAGCTCACGGATATTCTTAACAGGAATTCTTCATGCATTAAAGTGTATACCTGAATTTTCCTAATATAGCACATTTCTAAACAATATTCCTACCCTCTCGAATAGAATTTCATATTCTAATTTATCATACGTAACAAGATGAGAGTTAAAATAGTATGTAGTGAAAATGAGTATAGATTTCAAGTTAATTTGCATTTTTAGATATGCCTTCATGCATTTCATGTTAGTTATGATACTAACAATTTCAGAAGGGTACTTATGAGCAGGGAAAAAATAGAACAACTATGAGGAATTAGTCATCAGTCAGAGATACCAAAGCTGACTGCTACCAGGAGGAGGGAATTAGCAAATTTTGATACCGCAAGAGGGGAATCAGAAAATTCAAAATCCACAGGGAGGTGAATTAGAGTTCTACGCACAATAAAAGAGTGTTATCAAAGTTATAGCATAACAGCTTTACAGTTCAAATTCTCTGCCAGATTGATCAAACATTAGTCCTGAGAAAAAATAAATTCAAGGATATATTTTTGTTCATAAACTCAAAGCAAACTGTCACACCAGTTAAAACTTCCTAGAAGAGTATGACAATAATGTAGCATTTAGAATCAACCATGCACAATTGCACTACTCAGCTCCAAGTTCTCAAAGCTATATAATAAGGAAGAGTATTTTGAGTAAGTTACCGACTAGGTAAGCCAGGATACATGGTACTTCCACCACTCAAAACAATATGCTGGTAGAGCTGCAAGAGAAAATTTGAAGTAATGATTATTACATTAAACATATGATGGATTGCAAATGACAACACTGTGGCAAAGAATACAGAAGAAATTTCAAAGTTGAAGTACCATCATCCTGTTGTCAATATCCATCTCCTGGATGCAGCGAAATACCATGTCAGCCATGCCATCACCTTCAACATCAATAAGATCCTGAAATGGACAGAAAAAGTGACACTTAGCTTCCTTCCACATACATCAACCCATCAATTAAAATTTTGTAGAAGCGTGGAATAATATTTTAAATCTAGCTTCCTTGCACATACATCAACCCATAAAAGTAGAAGTTTGGAGAAGCATATAATAGCATTTCAAACCATGCAGTTCAGACAATGTGTTCTTGCTTCAATTTTTCACAAGGACTTAATTGACACTTTTATCTGAAACAAATTGGTTTGAGGATAACACTCTATTGCTTTCCTATTGAATAGTTGAGAGGTGAAAATAGTGTTTAAACAGCAAAAGAACCACCAAATTTAAGAAGCTGTACGACAAAAGATGGTCATGGTATTAGATAACAAATGTGACATTGAAATCTGGTGTTATATGGGATTTGCAGGATAGCTTGCTTTATGGGAAAACATCAATTGCCTTTCATCTTCCCCACTATGAGGAAAGCAAATCCGGTGCATTTTTACGAAAAAGATATGTTCTTGATTTGTGAAAGAGGAAAGTAAAAATGGGAATGCATGCTCACTGGAGTAAAAAGAGCCTCAGGTGCCTGGAACCTCTCTGTGCCAACTTTAAGTACCCTCCCATCTGGAAGCTGTTGAAAAACAAGTGAAATAATGAGTTACAGAATGACCAAGTTTCTTATGGGAGAAAAAAGGATCTTTACTTCCAAGAGCAAAGTACCATACCTAATTGCAGTTCAAAGTAGTAGAAAAGCTCAAAAAATAGTAGTGCCTTTGTTTTTTCCAATTAAAAGCTTATTATGGATGGAACCTACTCACAGTATAATTCTTAACAAGAATTGTAGTTTCAAGCCCCAACTGATATTCTCTCTTGTAATCATAACTGCAGTAAAGCAAATACCATTACTCGCCAGAAGAAGTAGTAAAGGGATTGATTTATGACGCAAGTAATTCACCTAATGTAGCAGAGCTTTTCTTTAATATCCCTGACAGTCTCAAAATCGGCACTTCTATTCATTGCATACCTTCAGATATTGACTGACCATCAAAACTCCAGTAATGGTTTAAAATAATCAAATATAGCATGAATGACCCTATTTAGTTTATTTCAAATATGTGTTGGCAATTACCCTCTCCGAAGTAGCAGATCAACCATATAAGATGTTATATGCCGTCCAGCTACATTCATTCTTTTCGTGAGGTGAGGAAATGAGTATCCATCTACAACGGGAACCTGCATCAAGATATTTCTGAATAACATACAGAAGAAAAAATATCCCCATGGTTCATAGCAAGTGCTACCATGTGCCACCGTAAGAACAAATAGCTGAAAAAAACACTGCCTTTAAGACCAGCTTGAAGGAGCAATCTTATTAGACAGGGAGCCCAATGGACTATGCAGGAAAACAGTTCTAGGTTTGGGGGTAGCAACTCCTAGTATGCTTACCTCAAACTGTATAAGAATTAACCTACTCTTTTGAATCAATGTTGAACCGAGACAAACTCATGAAACAGCTATGCTTATGGAAAAACTTACAACATGTGTAACTCCATCACCTGAGTCGATGACAAGCCCAGTCAACAAACCTGCATATTTGGAACATAAAAAATGAGCAAATCCATCACCAGATAGGGCCCAAGTAGAAGCAAAATATCGAATTAACCCCACCCTTGTAACAAATACCCTCTAAAAAATTGCAATATCAAGACTTATGATGGTCCTTCTCGCAACAACAACAACATACCCAGTGTAATCCCACCAAGTGGGGTCTGAGGAGGGTAGAGTGTACGCAAACCTTACCCATAGATATAGAGAGGTTGTTTCCGACAGACCCTCAGCTTAAATAAAGCATTCCAAACAGTTTGAAAAAAGGGGATACAAATATGAGAGCAATGACTACAATGAAATAATGCGAAATGGAGAGCATTACACAACAAACTGCAGAAAGAACAGTAACGACAATGAAATAATGCAATAATCTGAGCACAAACTAAATCAAAGAACAAGAAACTACGAGAATAGTGCTAATACTACTGGTAAGAAGGAAGGTCCAAGGATCACCACCAAGCCTATCCCGCAGGAAGCGAGAGAACGCTCAACTACCAAACTAACCTTCTACCCAAATCCACAACCTCTAAACTCTCCTATCGAAGGTCCTTCTAGCAGATAATTGAAAATGATTATGCCCCAAGAACTCATACATGTATAATGGTACCTTGAGCATACAATGTTAGAACAGCTTGAATTTGGATGAAGACACCAGCAAAGTTGTACTTCTCAAACATGGTTTCTACCTGTAATTCAAGTAAATCTGAGTATAAGTTAAGAATCATTGAAGCAGTAAAGAGAGGGTATGATTTTCTCGAAAAATTAAAACATTAACACAAACCATCGTTTCACGATTTTTAGATGGATTTAGAGGTGGATCTGTCAGCAGAATTTTGCATTCTGTTGGATCTATCTTCACCAGCAGAATGAAAGGAAAGTCTTGTCAGTTAACCATGAACTTATCATACAATAAGCATTTCAAAGAAAAATTAGCAAGCAAAAGTTTAAACCAATTAGAAATCTTCACAGGGAAGTTAGCAATAGAGAAATCTACCTTCAGTTCGTTGAAAAATGCATGGTCCCACACATTCCCCATATCATCCCAGTTTTGTACAATTCCATTGTTGACGGGATAAGATAAATCCAACTGATGGCGCAACTTCAAGCATTCATCTCCCACAATAATATCCTAGAGGAAGAATGTAAATGAGTTAAACATTCGTCAACAAGTCTGTGAGTACACTTACTTATGAAGCTCAACAGTTAGAGAGCAAAATATATTAGAGAATGGTATAATATAAGAATAAAAGAGAGCAAAGTACATAAGGAAAAAAAGTGATGATGGGAAGATTCCCAATGTCCTAGTTACAAGCTATAAGTTTAAACAATGAATCCAGGAGTATACTATCTAAGCAGAACTCAAAAAATCCTGAGGGGTATCAGAAAATAAAATAGATTTTAAACTTCATTTCACAAGAAGTAGCTATAACATCTAGTTTAGAAAGCAACTGTTGAACTAATGAAGTTTCAACCCAGATTTTCTTTCTCTAAGAAGAGCTTACTAGTTTTCGATAAATGCAAGAGAACCCTCACACTTTCAATGTAGGGTAAGCATAAAGTGAGAGATATTTACCTTCAAGTCTTGTTCCATAAGGGACTCTTCATATCTTAGCATTGGCCTCCCCACAACACAAGGGAATACAGATGTGGGAAAATTCTCACCCGCAAAGCCACACTTGACATACTGCATTAGTTCATCAAAACATTGAGAATTGACACACCATTTTACTGTCCATATAGACATCAAAATAGTTCAAAAAAAATATCACCATGACTGGCCCAAAAAGGAAATGCTAAACAAGAAAAAAAAATAAAGGAAAAAAAGCAAATACTCTGTACAAAACAGTCTCTCACTTCATAAAACTGAATAGCAGGCTCCAGTAGGAAAGGAATAGCATCATGCTTGAGTCGTTAGGATGATGATCTTCATAACCAGAAATTGAATTCAAAGTTTGCATCTTGTGAAGGAAAACTGACTTACTGAGATTTGGTTTCCAGGAACGAGTAGTTCCAAAAAAAGAAATAAAACCAAAAGTAGCTACAACAATTTCACCTCAACTCCAAACCAGTTCGGGGCGGCTATATGAATTACTAACCATGTTTCTCCATTCAAATTCATCTCACACCAACATTATACAAAATATAAAGCAGTATAGCGGCATATGTACAAGTTCAATGAAGTAATGTGATCATGCCAGACATACACCAACTTTTTTTCTTCTTAAATGAAAACTGCACTTTAAATTACCGGAACGAAATGTGTCCGACTAGAAAAATAGATATAGAGGAGTACTACACCCCCATTAGTTTCTGATTGATGCATAGTTGACAGATTTAATTTAGAAAAAAAAAATGAAAAATCTATTACCACAAGGATAGTGTAATCTTCAAAAAGAAAAAACGGCATTAACTCAAGTTAGCAGATCGTGATTTAAGCATCGAAATTGAGAAATTTCTACTCTTGGTGGCGTCTTTAGCTGCTTCTCCGGAAGTATATATACTCACATTCAACTTAATGCCCATTTTCTCTAATATATTAAGTAACATTTCAGGTATTAAGACCTTAATAAAATCAATTTCGTTTGACAATTGCGCAATCTTCAGATGAATTTCCTCTATCATCGAATCTAAACTCAAACAACACCAATTCAAAAGAGAGAACAAAGAGAATACCCCAGTGCCGTTGTCGCAAACGACAACATTTCGATTATCCATCTTGTAGCTACTCAGCTGGATCAATCATGGATTCCACTTTTCTTAAACTTTGAGAATTTTTTTTGCTTGCGGAATCAGCAAAGATCGAAGCATTTAGTTAATAATGGCCATGGACTAGCTCCGGTTACCGGAAGTTAAAAACATTTTTTGTTTGAGTCCTCCAATTTCGTAATTTTTCATTTTCTACCTCTTTTCTTATAAAAAGAGCCAAAAATACCTATTAACTATTGGGAAAGATCTAATAGACGGAAAAAACTGATGTCAAAGACCAGTAGCCGGTATTTGTGTATTTACACCAAAGTAAACTTGTCTTTGGCATCATATTTGCGGCTGTTTTTTATATTTTGAAAAATATAAATTAAGTCATGGAGCTGATATATTATTTCAGATATTGGATAAATTATATATATATATAAAAAAAAATCTAATCAAAAGTGAGGTTTTATTTCACCCAATAAAAAAATGACACGTAATAAATAACTTTTTAAAAATAAAATAAATATGGGGTATACTAAATAAGTTAAGCATCTGACACTTTTATGAAATTGATTCTTTTGAGCACTGAAAGATTTATAAACGGTGGAGACAATTTAGTAAATGGTTTAGAGGACCCGAATAGATGTTGAGCAAATAAAAAATGGTCCATCAAGCATGCAGTACTAATTTACGAGTAACTTCAAAATTATTATCTTTCACAAAATAGGAAAAAACTAGTTAGTTAAGTATTCCTTGTTACGTATGACCAAAAAAAGAAAAAAATAGATCCTCTATGTATTATGGTTGTTGGTTTTGTATCTCATTGTATGTTGTTGTCTCCTGCATTAGGCGTATGGAGATGATCAACATGTGGTATGTCATCTGTAAGCCATTTCTTTCCCCAACTCATTAGTACAAGTGAGACGGTTTTCTTGCATCACTTGAAATAACTTAAAAATTGGATCTGGTTTTGAAGAAGATGATATTGATGCCAATATTTCATTGCTCAGTGCTTGATGCATCAAAGGGGATTTGCCTTGAATCCACTTCAAATATTCAACAGCCAAACTTATCTCTTCAGCATCAGCTAAAAAATTGAGAAAATTCAGATGGGAGTCTAAAAATGCAGTATCAGTGCTTTGGTCACGGAGTAACTCCATTGCAGGAACCAAATAACCTGCAATTGTAAAAGGTAAAAAACTTAGTAAAACAGAGATATTCAGCCCAATATAAAACTACATTTGCAGTTAATATAAATCACAAGTAAAACATCATTATCACATATATGGAGTAAGTAATACCTTCCTTGCAGAGGCTGAGTATGAATGTACACAAGATGGAACGTGCAAGGGTTTGATCTTGTGTAGCACATTTGCTGAAGACTTCAAGAGACATTTTGAGATCTTTTGCTTGACAAAGCCCTTTAAGGACTGAAGTGTATGTAATAGCATCAGGTACTACTCCTTTCTCAATCATGTCATGGAAAAGCCTACAAGCATCTTCAATTTCACTTTCTTCTGAACACTTCTGAATAAGAATATTGTAAGTCTCTAAATTACCAGGGCACCCATTTGTGAACATCTCATCCCACAACCGTTTTGCTGGTCGCAGTAGATCTTCTCTACAGCAAGCTTCTAGCAGGAGATTGTAAGATTGTATATCAGGAACTGCACCTTTTCTTCTCATGTCACGGAGAACTTCGTAAGCTTCTCTCACTTTGCCAGCCTTACACAAAAATGAAACCATAATATTATAGCCATGTGTGTCAGTAAAATAGTTTCTAGAAGACAATTTTTGAAAAACTTCAAGCAATTCATCAAGCTTCCCATGCTTACAAAGGTTTGCACTTAAACTTGTCACAGTAACAAGATTAGGGGACCTTTCTCTATCTAGCATGAAGTTCAAGAAAAAGATGGCAAGTATAGGATCAATGGCTGAAACTGATCCTATCAAAGCATTGAGCAAATCGTCATCCATAGGAAAGTTACCAGACGCAATTACTTTGCCCAAATCTTTAGCTTCGGAAATCAGCCTCTCCGAAATCAAATCAAAGATGTACTCTTTATAATCGTTATTCCTTGGTGCGACCCCTAGTTTTCTCTTCTTCTTCAAAACCAAATCTTTGTCAACTACATTTCGCATATTCCCCAACGCTTCAGCAACAATACTATAAGCAATAAAATCAGGTTTACATTCCCTTATCCTCAATTCATCAAAAGCAGAAACAGCTTCTGCTATCCTAGACTGAGAACATAACCCCTGCACGACTAAAACTGCCAGAAGGGATCCATTAATTCCCGAAAAGTCAATCTTCCTAACCTCATCTAACAAACTCAAAGTCTTTTCCAACCCATTAAATCCACAGAATCTCCACAGAAACACACCAAAACCAAGAGTGTTCAAGCGAACACCTCTGTGATTCATTTCGTCGAACACCTGAAAAGCACATTTATAGTTCCCTTCTGACGATAAAGCAGCGAGAAGTGAATTACAAGTTTGGGATCCAATCTCCGATGCGAACGAAGGGACCTCAGTGAAAATGGAAAATGCTAAATTGGATTTCTTAGCAATGATGTGGGAAGCAATGACAGAGCGATATAGAGCAGGATGGAGACGGATTTTCTGGGCTTTTACCTGTTTAAAGAGCTTATCAAGGGTGTTGAACTGGCGAGTGATGCAGAGAGAGTTGAGAATTGAATGGTAAGTGGAGGAGTCATGAGAGAATCCAGGTTGCTGAGAGGCCCAGTTGAAGAAACCGAGTGCAAGAGAATGGTGGTGGACAAGAAAAGGGTCGATGACTCGGGCGACGAGTGTCGGGCTGAGTGATTCCCGGCATCCGAGGCGATATAACGTCTGCTCTAGTGCTGGCGTCCATGTTTGGCTTCTTTGCTTTGATGCGTGAATGAGAGCTCGGCTTATTACACTTGCAAACTCCCCCACTGATCGCCTCATCATCTTATACGCTCTCTTTTCTGTGTAGTACTAGTATAGTAGGCTAGCTATTCCAGCATTACTTGCTCTAGTTATTTTACATAATCATAAAATTGTTAGTACTTCCTCTATCCAAAAAGAGCTACTATATTTTTATTTAACATAATTTTTTAAAATACTTTCTAAATATTTTGAATTGTTAACTTACCTTTGAAGTATGTAAAGTAAATTTTACTTCAAAAATATTGGGATGCTGCTACAAAGTAGAACCAATAACAGAAGCAGAAGAGAGTTAATCTTGCATGCGCGAGTACTGTAGTGGAAGCCGTAACAACTCCCAAGTTTTAGTTGAATTCATCTGAAAAAAAATTAAGAAGAGCATGCTGCTTGTAGCGATGAATGCATTAGCACCGCAGACTATACGAAAAAAAGGAAACGTTAGGAGAAGGAAGGGACTGAGGAATTTTTCATTTTGATCTAAACCCACACTAACCAAAATATCACACTAAACCTTTTGTTTTCTTTACAGTATAAAATAAATATTTGTACAAGTTATATTCTATTATACAGTTTGGTTCTTCCTTTTTATAGTGAACACTGTCCAGAGCACATGCCACTTATATCACACATCCATGTATATACAGACAACACCTGGCAATATCTGCTACTACTGATGCTTTAAGAGTTTCTTCTATATCTCTTGATACTATATGGTCTAACTATCTGATGGTTACTATTTACATAAAACTAAAGAGTTCTTCACCAATGGGTAGGATATCTATCTACAATTTTTGTTACTTGAAATCTGCATACTGTGAGTGGTGTATCTGACATATCTACAATGTTTTCCAGTCTTACAGGGAACCACTCAAGTGTAGGATCCAATCAGCTTCAGACTTTGGAGGGTTCGAACTTTGAAGAGACTCCCAAAGAAGTAGCTAATTGTTCCTTCTTCAGGTAGCTTTTCTGAATGACAAGGATTCCACTTAACATGCAGCATATTTGGGCCAACTTGCTCACAAATTGAATCAACTGTCTTTTGCTCAACTGGATTCCCAGTCACATCTGTGACATAAAAGATATCTTTTGCCTTCCCCCCTTGTGTTGAGATTTCTGCTCTTTTAATACACAAACTATTTTCCCTGAATATCCTAGTGATATCTGATAGTAGTCCTAGCCGATCTTCTGTACACAATTCTAGCTCCAGACCCTGCAGAAAGCTAGCACATATTAGTGCCTCATCCTAGAGAAAGCTTTGGAAACTAAAATCTTCTTGTCTCGGACTAAAGCACTTCACCTCAGAGGTTCTTCTCTCAATAGCTGCTTCAAGACACAGAATCACACGCTCTCGCTCAGCCTCTGAGCTTATTGGAAGCCCATCAACATGTCGAATGTAGAATTCCTGCAGCAGGCCATTGATTTAGATTGACATTAGACATACAAAGCAGCAGAGATAAAGGAAGTGACTGTTAGCTAATATGCCATCACAAACCAAAACTAATTCATTACTTCAATTGAACTAAGCTTGTCTTGAATCAGTACACGGTAGAAAAACCATCAAGTACTGTCCACGTAGAAATTAACATTACCTGATAAGCTTCGTTCTTTCCTGTGTGAACAACTCCATGAAAGACCACATATTGCATGTCAGTCAAAGTGCAGACAATATCAAACAACAGCTTAGGTCGATCCCTTGACCTCATAGTGATCACAGTATAATCCTTTTCACTGCAATAATAAACAGTTATACAAGGCCCGGATTTCAAATCCTCAATGTTGCCCTGTTCTGTCTTTCTAACTTTTACATAGTCCCTATCATCAAACATTATCTGGTGTAATCTTCTCTCCCTGTGTGTAAATCCAGGAGGTGAAAGTGTCATCTTTGCAGTCTTCAAATCATTGTTTCCCTTGAGGACGTTACGAAGAAGTTTCTTGATTGTAGCAAGGCGTTTTGGGTCTTCAATTGCACAATCTGTAACGTCGTCCACAACATGAACCACGGCTGCAGCCCTAGCATTATGTGTCCAGATTGCAGCGTTCACCACATTACAGTGAAGGTCAGCAAGAACAGCGCACACTTCAGACAATAAGCCAGGTCTGTCTGTCCCGCTAAGTTCAATGGACGTGTGCTCTTCAGAAGGCATCAAGCCAACAGTTCCCCTTAAAGAGGGTAACAGAACCTCGTCATTTTCAAGAGTCTGTGTAACAAGAAACTGAAAGAATTTAGGATCCATGCACATCTTTGAGCCAAGTGTGGAAAAAGAAATCAATGTACACTTTTGCAAATAGGATTTTTCTTGCCTACAGCCTATTGATTTTTTTTGTGGGTAAAAGAAAAGGCCGTTTAGTAGGGTGTATTAGAGAAAATAATACATTTATTAGTCATGGTATTATTTAATCTTTTGTTTGGAAGGATTTTCAACCTATGTATAACTAACACATGTATTAGTAATACATCATATTCAATATTATAGGGTGTATAGCAAATACATAGCAACCCATGGTATCAACAAGGGTTACTAATACATGGATAAGCATGGTTAAAGACAAAACTGCCCTTAATACACCAAAGATAAGAAATAACCCTAGCATAACTTATCTCAGCATTAATAATACACCATATTCAGTCCCAATCCATGGAGTAACTTTGTCTATCCCATTCCCATACCAAACAATCCCCTAAAATATTAAAGACTGCTTAGCTGATAGACCATAATACTATACTGCAATGAAAATTGTCGACCCTTAATATGAAATACCTTTTGGATATAGCTGATGATTTCTTCATCTCTAACTTTATTTCCATCTTGATCAGTCACATTAAACACTGAAGAAATAATAAAGAGAATAATTAGTGGCAAGTATGGAATTTCTTGGTTTTGAGTAAATAATAAGAACTTACCGTCCATAAACCATCCCCATCAGAGGAAATGTATGCTTTCGTGATAACAAGGTTTAAATCCGTCAGAACCTGCACAACTTGAAGAAGAATCCCATGCTTGTTGACACTGTCAACCTGCACAAGGTTGAGGTTGAGCATAACATAAATACTTAGGGCACAGAAAGTGGCATCTTTAACATGAACTGGATGGCTAGACTTGATACAGAGAAACAGAAAAGAGGGGATAAGACGGGCATGGGCAGGGGGTATGTATACCTGGATAATGGTTGCATTCTCACAAGAGTCATTGTCAATTACCACTCTGTAAGAAGAAACAAGAAAACAAGGGTTAAAGAAAAAAGAGGATCTTTCTTCTCAAAATATAAACAACTTGATCAGTTTTCGAGTCCAAAATCAATTCAGGGACAGACAGGGGAAGATAGAACTTGACAAGAAGAAGAAGAAGAAGCAACCAAAACTAGTGAGTTGTAAGGACACAAGAGAAGAAAGAAATTAATCAAATTAGCTGGTGTGACTATCAAGATAATCTAGGTCGAGGAAATTGGTTAGAAATGAAAAAAATAAGGAGGAGAGAGAGAAATACCTGGGAGGATTCATCCTCCTGATAAGCTTAGCATACTCGTCATCCATATCTCTCAATTTGGAAAGAAGAATAGTGGGATGAATGAAGAAGAAGACATGCGAGGAGAGAAGAAAGGGTTAAAAGTAGAATGAGTCTCCAATGTCTGTGGAAGAAAGGCAAAAGCTGAAGACGAGTAAAGTGACGCTTTATTGAGTGGAAAAGGCATCCATATATTATGTATCAAAAAAACAACACGCCGCACCACTATTCACACTAACTAGTTAGTACTACTAAATTATTCCTATTTATTTGTATCTCAATTTAATAGTCATATTTGTTAAATCTAATAATGATTCTTTTTTAAAGTAAACATGACATTAAAGTGGAACGAAGGGGTACTAGACCAAGTGCCTCCCCCGGAGGGGAGGAGATGACGGATTTAATTGGCATATTCCAAGGTTGACTGCTAAAATATTTTTTGTATTTTAAACAAAAGTCTATAAAGACTTGTAGGTTATCTCAAAGTGTGATGTCGATTTATGCCCTTTAGTAGAATTATTTTGACTAATTTCGTCTTATTCGAGTTACAATCCTAAGGGGTTGGTTAGGAAATCAATTTCATGTATTAAAATTAGTATAATTATTATTACATTTCATATTATTTTATATAAAATTTAACACATTATAATCAAATTACAATCATCCATAATTATAATATGAATAAGTTCAATTTATATAATATTTTAGATAAGATAAAAGATGAAATACTTGGTAAATAACTAAATCTTGCCTAATTATCTTTTTTTTTTAGTAGACCATCTCCAACCCAACATCAAATCCTTATTTGGTGTAAAATTTGGTGTTTTTTAGCTTCAACCCACACCAATTTTTACACCAAATTTGGTGTATTCATTACACCAATTCACTTTTTGAATATTTTAATATTATTTCATTATACAAACTTTTAATTGAACATTATATAAATTGTATGTTTTAATTAAATCTCTTGTATATTTAATTATTTTTTATGTAATATTTTTATAATATTAATTTTAGATATAAAATTTAGCTTTTTTATAAATTAATTTTTCTATATATGACTTTTTTTAAAAATTAAATTTATGTTAATTCTACTATAAATTATAATTGGATATATATATATATATATATATATATATATATATAAAAGTTGGGCATTAAGCCTTTTATTTAAAATAATTGGATATAACTACAATTAACCTTCACAAAAATAAAAAAATGAAAACATATAAATTTTTAAACAAATAATACAATGTACTTAAAAATAATCGAAAATAATAAACATTCAACAAGGTAGTAATTGATATTCACCATGAATTATATATGGTGAATGTTTTAGAAAGAATTTATTTTATGAAATAAGAAAATAATATAATAATGAAGAGAGAGAAAAATATTTCTTTTTGATATAAAATTTGATGCAATTGATTGGAGTTGATTATACCAAAAATAGTGTTGTGTAAAATTTGGTGTTTGGGTTGGAGATGCCAAAGGAACAAATTCGGCCATTTTCCTACAAATGTTTGGGCTGTGGCCCACGACCATGTTCTTGAAAGTCCAAAGTGTAACAAGTTGGGCGGTGAATGGATTTATTTGGCCAACCCTAAATCATCTTCATACTCTACATTGACATGGTTTCACTGATTTAACTATGAGTGACAAAATTTGACTCTATCATTTATCAATATCGACATTTGATGTCTACTTTTGAAGTCATATGTTACCCAAAAAGAAGAAGAGAAGAAGATAACATAATCACTAATCATGCGTTGATTTAAGAACGTCCACGTTGATGTTTTGTGAATCGCTCCAATCAGATAATATTGGAGTTTCATATTTTATTCCTAATTATCAATTATATATATACAGTATGGCCAGATATGTAGAGATTCTGCCAAAGATATGGAAAGGAACATTATTTTAGCAACTTGTCCACGTAGCAGATGCCGTCTCTATCGAATGCCCAACAAGGAGGGGATAAAGGGGTGCCAAATTGGTTTGGACTATTCAACCAATATGGATGAAGATAGAGCATGGACCACAAACAATTGAGCATTTATACCACTAATTGATGCCTTTCCCAAGTTGCTCCCAAAGGATTGGGCATCATGTATATTTTCTCCAACTACCACAAGCAAAAAATATTATGGAGATTCAATATCTACTATATATATATAAAGAAATCTTAATCTTATATACAATGTAATTTTCAAGAAAAGGTAATTCAAATGAACCCTATGCACCTCTTAGCTCCGTCGCCTTTGGTCTCAATAATAATTACGTGTATATATAATCTTAACAAATACTATATACGTGTGAGGTTGAGAAAGTGGATTGGCTGGAGTGGTGGGGGAGCTAGAGAAGTTACATTCTTAATTTTTAAGAAACTTGTTTTTAGTAGAAGAAAATTTCATAATATTTTAATCGATCAAACATAAGAAGATTAGAAAATATCTCATGCCCCGCACGTGCGGGCTAACACACCCTTATTCTTATCCTTTTCATTTTGCTTTTGTCTTTGTGGTCCTTAAACCTTCCAAGTAAAAGATTTTTTTTAAAAAAAAATAAAAAGTGGAAGCAAAAAAAGAGGATAGAATGAAATGCTCTAGCTGGTAATTCCTCAGAACAAGCAACACTAGGAATTAGTTAGTACCCACATTAACATCTGAAAAACTCTTAGCTCTATCTATAAGACAAACAAAATAAAAAAGGAAATGATTCAATTGTAACTAATAGTACTATATGTCAAGAAGGCAAAATGGTTTGGTGGATACCTATACTTGTACCCGTTTGTATTGTAAACACTTCTACTTAACCCTTTATCATCTGAACCCTTACACTTAAAAAAACACAATATATTAAACCCCTCTGACCATTGATCATGCTTATGTGGCATTAATATGGTTGAGTTGGCAAGAGAGTGAGACCACACGCCTATTAAGGCAAGTGAACATCATATTTAAATTTTAAAAAATATTTAAATTAAAAGAGTAAATAATAAACATAAAAAAGAAAATTGAAACCCTTCTTCTTCACCAAATGACCCACTTTTTTCAGCCATCTCCATTTTTTTTCCAACCTTTTTTTTTCTTTCTTTCATCTTATTTAGGTGGTCTGATACACCAGAGGCGGCGAGGAGTATGCTAGTACACCGGAGGCAGCGGGGAATTTTCTGGCCTTCTGGTACATCGGAAAGGATGGAGAGCATAGGGGGTCCCTGGTGGTTCGCAGGAGTCGTCGATGGTACGAAAAAATGAAGACGGTGGAGAGGGGAACGAGGCTGGTGAGGGGCAATGAGTAAAGAGATTGAGAATCAAAGCAAACTTAAATGAATCTTATTCAAATGTAACATCAACTTAAATACAGGTAAGATGTAATTAACTTGACTAATTCTAAAGAACTGTTCTAACAACTTAATATGTAACTAAGTTGACTAAAACTAAGGAACTACTTTAACAACTTAATCTAAATCTAGTCTAACAACTTGATAAGAATTAATAACAAACTAGTGAGTATGTCAACACACCTCCTCAAGTTAGGTGTGGTGCAACAACGCCTAACTTGGATAAACACCGAAAGAAGGCAAGCTTGGGCAGCGGCTTTGTGAGAGTGTCTGCAATTTGATCCCCGGCAGAAAGATATTTGACTACCACTCTACCTGAGTTCACACTGTTGTAGAGGTAGTAAAAGTCTACTGCAATGTGCTTCATCTTAGTGTGGAAGACTGAGTTCTTGCTGAGATATGAAACACCAATATTATCACAAAAAATGCTTGGCGTTTGCGAGACTTGATATCGTAATTCAGTCAACAAATTGTGTACCCAAATAAGTTCAGAGAGTGCATTGGATACAGATTTGTATTCTGCTTCAGTAGATGACTGAGCAACTGATTGTTGTTTTTTAGAGGACCAACAGATCGGATTTGGTCCCAAGAAGAGTATGTAACCAGATGTGGATATTCTGTCAGAGGGACCACCTTCCCAATTAGCATCGGCGTATATATACAGATTACAATCAGAGTGGCTAGAGATTTGTAGGCACGACGTTGTTGATGCCTTGAGGTATCGAAATACTATTTTTACTGCTTTCCAATGCTCCAGACTTGGGGATTGCATAAAATGTGATAGTTTGTTAACTGCAAAGGCAATATCAGGATGCGTGAATGATAAGTATTGATATTTACCAATGGTGCGTCGATACAAGGTTGCATTGGTAGGAAGTGAACCATCGGCTACTTGGGGTGGTAAACTTGAGCACATAAGTGTCGTAACTCTTTTACAGTCGGCCATATCCACATTTGAGAGAATCTCAAGTATGTATTTGGATTGTGATAAGACAATCCCATTTGGAACATGTTTGACTTCGATCCCCAAAAAATAGTTGAGTTCACCCAGGTTCTTTAGGGAGAACTTGTAAGCCAGAAAGTTGATTACATGTGTGACCAAGTTTGGGTAATTCCAGTAATGAAGATATCATCAACATACACTAGAATATACATCGTGACAGCTTCAGATGTAAAAATAAACAGAGAAGCATCTGATTCAGACTTAACAAACCCAATTTTAGTCAAGTGAGATTTGAGAGCTTCATACCATGCACGAGGAGCTTGTTTTAAGCCATAAATGGCCTTTTGGAGACGACAGACATGATTGGGAAAATCAGGGTTGACATAGCCTTTCGGCTGCGCCATGAATACTTACTCCTGTAAGTTACCTTGCAAAAATGCATTATTTACATCAAGCTGCTGCACTTTCCAGTTTTTTTGAACTGCAATAGAAAGTACAATTTTGATGGTGGATGGTTTGACAACCGGACTGAAAGTTTCATGAAAGTCCAATCCTGGACATTGTGTGAAACCTTTTGCGACTAATCGCGCCTTGTACCTGTTAATAGAACCATCAGTTTTCCTTTTAATGTGAAATAACCACTTACAATCAACAACATTATTTATCGCGTCCCTAGGTACTAGTTCCCAAGTTTGGTTTTTCATTAAGGCGTCGTATTCCAGATCCATTGGATTCTTCCATTCAATGTGCTTAACTGCTTGCTTAAAGGTATTTGGAGTGGGAGAAAGGTGAGCCAAGAAGCTAAATTTTTTCTTTGGTGTAAAGATATTATTTTTGGACCTTGTGACCACACCGGATGATGGAGGGACATCAGCTGGTGACATAATTGTTGGTTGTTGCGGTGGCTATTGGTTGATTGGTGGCCGACGGGAATAGTATAATGGTTGAGAGGTGTTGTGGGCTGCTTCATTAAATAGTGAATGAGGTTGAGAAGAGATAGGAACCATACATGATGAAATGGAAACTGTATGATTTCCCATTGTAACGTGGAAAACTTATTTTTCAAGTGTGAGAACATTTGAGTGAAAGGAAAAATATCTTCACAAAAGTGAACATCACGACTGACGAAAATTTTTGAGTGCACAGGATTAAAGGAGAGGGGTACATGATGAACAATAGAAACTCCTAAGTAGACACATGGTGTAGATCTAGGCTGAAATTTATTTTTGTATACGGCTTAAGCAATGGATAACAGAGACAACCAAAAATTTTCAGCAAAGAGTATTTTGGCAGTTCGCCAAACAATTTTTTATAAGAAGAATCATTATTCAGGCCAGGCGTAGGTATTCTATTTATGAGATAGACAGCATGGTGACAGGCAAAGGACCATAGTTCAGATGGTAGTGAGGCTTCATTGAGAAGAGTTCGAGTTGTTTCGACAATGTAACGATGTCGTCGTTCAGCGATTGCAACTCGTTGGGGGGTGTAGGGTGGGGAGATCAAATGCTGAATGCCATGGCATTATAGGTACTGTTTAAGACTTGTGTATTCACCCCCTTCATCAGTATAAAGTGAGACAATTTTGTGTTTGAAAATTTTTTCCACTAAAGGATGAAAGTTTGCGAAAATTGAAGCGACTTCACTTTTGTTTTTGATTGTATACAACCAAGTGTATTTGGTGTAATGATCAACAAAAATGCAGTAATACAACTTTTATCAATGGATAAAATGGGTGATGGACCACATAAATCACTAAACAAAGTTTGAAGTGGTGCATTACTATTTAAAGTGAGTCGTTGAAATGGCAAACAATGTGCTTTATTTGATGAGCACGAAGTACAAAAATGAAACTTTTCTTTGGTGGAAAAGGGAAGTGAAAATTTATTCAGTACTAAGTCTAGGATTTTCAGATGAGGGTGACCCAAGCGACGATGCCACAGTTGACGGAAAACTTTGGTGGAGGTGAAGTTGGCGGAAGGTGACACATGATCCCTCTGTGGCCACTCATAGAGTCCGTGTGTTTATTCCGGCCTTGTACCAGCAGTCTCTGAGTTTTGAGATCCTTCACAAGAAAAGAGTGTGAAAAAAATTCGATTGAGGTCAAATTGTCAGTACAAAACTTAGCAACAGAAATAAGGTTCTTTTTTATAGTTGGAGCACAAAGAGTGTTAGAGAGCATGAAATTGGAGTTAGAAGCCTTAATTTAAGTAAAACCAGTGTGAATAATGGGAATAGTTTTACCGTCACCCATGGACACTTCCTCATTGCCAGTGTATTCTTCAAGATTATAGACTCGATTGTGACATGATGAGTTGCTCCAGAGTCAAGGATCCAAGGATTTGCATCTGAGTGATAATTTGACACAAAGTTGACCTTAACTTCAAAGTGGTTGTGCGATTTTAAGCGACACACATCTGTTGTGTGACTGATCTTTTGGCAAAGTTGGCAATTTACCATTTGCCTGGGTAGTCTCCCATTATGTTGATTTCCAGGGACCTCCTGTCGTGGAGCTTGTGGTCTTGAAGATTGATTTGGGAAGCGACGATTATTTTTCTGATTTTGGGGCTGGAAGTTGGTCCTTTGTGCAACTGCAGCCGTGATGATGGAGGATGACCTGTCAATAACTTGATGTTTGAGAAAGAGTTCATGGTCAGTGAATTTCTGGAATAGCTCCTCAAAGCTTAGGGTTGTGTCACGCGCTCTTATAGCGGCAGTGATTTCACGGTACTCATAACCTAGGACACTCAAAATCTTGACTGTTAGTTCATTATCAGCCACCGGAGAGCCCGCTACTTTGAGAGCATGAACAATTGATCTGATCTCCTGTAGGTAAGTAGCAACTGTCTTGGAGGCCTTTTCATGTTTTGCAACTGATCTCGTAAGTTAAAGATACGAGTGTGACTCCTATTAGCATAAGCTGCATGAAGGAGATCCCAAGCTATTTTTGCCGAAGAGGCAGTTGCAACAGTGGGAGCAATGGTGGGGTCAACGGATGCCATCATTGCCTGTTGAATTAGTTGGCCTTGGCAAAACCACAACTCATATTCAGGATTGGAGATGGTACTATCAGTTTGTGTGATAGTGGTTGGCGAGCAGATTTGGCACCAGTGAGATGCCCAAGGTATTTGTGTCCATTGAGTAGTATCACTAATTGTGCCTTCCAGGTGGCAAAGTTAAGGTTACCTTGCAGTTTGATAGGTAATTGGGCAGTTGGATTGAACTGTACCACATGAGTAGTAGTCAGAACTGCAGCAGCACTATCACTGGTGGTAGCAGGAACATCCATGTTTGGACGCAAAGAGAGGAAAAAAAAAATTTGGATCGGACTCGTGAAAGTTTTAGAGGGGCTCTAATACTATAAAGAGATTGAGAATCAAAGCAAACTTGAATGAATCTTATTCAACTGTAACACCAACTTAAATACAGGTAAGATGTAATTTAAATTGACTAATTCTAAGGAACTGTTCTAACAACTTAATATGTAACTAAGTTGACTAAAACTAAGGAACTACTTTAACAATTTAATCTAAATCTATTCCAACAACTTGATAAGAATTAATAACAAACTAACAAACTAGTGAGTATGTCAACAATAAGCTGGTGCGGCAGCTTATGGTTTTTGGATTTGTGGAGATTGGAGAAGGATGAGGTAAGAAAAATGGTGAAAGTGTGCGACGAAGACGGAGACAGATGAAGGAGAGAGTATTTGTGGTCTCGCCGGCAAGAGGAGTGGTGGCAGCGGCAAATTTCTCCGGCGATTGGGCCTTTTCACGGTGAAAGGCCAATGAAAGTATGGTTGCAGCATACTGTCTCGATGCTTGATTTTACATACCTTCCTCTACTCAATTATTATTGTTGGAATAACAACAAATTAGGGCTATTCCAAGTGCTTTTCTTCTACAGAAGATAAACTGCTAATGCGGGATAGCAACTTAAAGCTGTACCATTCTTTATTACTTTTAGGTAATCCTTTTTCCCTTTTAAACTTAAAGTTGTACCATTCCTTATTACTCTTAGGTAATCCTTTAGCCCCTTCCAAGACAATGAAATGGTTCTCTTCTATATACTGCTCCTGCACCAACCTAATTAGCACAGAAGCACATGTCTGTGAAATGGCATAGAGCCACGAACTTCCATAAGATAGTAATCTACCTAAAAATCTGGCACCCCATGTCAAGCGAAGACACTCCTAACAACATACTCCGTGAATAATACACGATGTAACATAGAGATAAACACCGAAAATGTCACAACCAGGAGAATTTTCTTTTACCACTTGATGCCATTTGTCAAAAAAACAATGCATTTCTCAATAACATTGTGAAGCAAAGGGATAAAAGTGAAAGGCTGACTTTGATGGACAAACTGCCTGATGAGTTGAAAAAGAATTAAGCACTGACCTTTTTCACTGAAGGTAGAAGTTCCAATTCTGCAGTAACTTTTCAAGAACATTGAACTGAATAGAGGAAGGAACCTCGTATTGAAGCTTGGATCTTCTGTAGAAAGCTAGTTTAGCTAGCAACAGTAAAGAGTTGGACTTGGGAGGTCTCAGACCTCTTCAGTTGATGATTTTACCTGCAAGTGATGCCATGAGTTCCCGCTCCTAGTTTCTTACAGGTATACAAATATCTATGTAGAAACATGCATCGACTTTCTAGTCACCCATCGGTAGAGCTATACCTATATCGAGGGTCTGAATTCATCCAGGCAACCAGGTGGTTTCTAGGTTCATGTTGAATTAGCCTAACAAAAATTAGGCGTTCAGAATTCAGTGTCTTGCACTGAATCTATGTGTTACACAAGAGAGAAAATTGCTTCTGGATATATGATTTCTATGTTTATTTCAACAAACGAAGATATAAGCATAAAGCACTCCGCTAGGATATAAAGGTCAAAATGAACTGCTAAACTATTTCCTAAAAATAAACCCTAGCTTAGAAAACACCAATTTCACTTTTATGTACCCCAAAATCAGAATTATATGAAAGCTCTACTGTCCTGATCCTTGAGAATTATCATCCTCGGGAGAAGGTTGTTGCTGCTGGTGCATTCTTGAATGCCCCATCTGCTGGTAAATCTGATTCAGAGACTGAGAATTCATATGAGCATCTTGTGATAATCCGAGCTCCAACCCAGGTAGGCTAGTAGCACCCAACATAGATGTAAAACTCAAATTGGTGGAGGGGAGGTCAAATCCAGGGAAACTAATCTTTTGCAGACTTTCAGTTCCCAAATTGTGGCCAAAATTAGTGACATCAGGAGCAGATGGGGGCCATGTCCCTGTTGTGGCCAACTGGGCCATAGGCCAACTGGTCCTACTACTACTATTACTAATACTTCCATCCATGTTTTGCTGCAAACAAGCGGAAACAGAGATTCCCTGTTGCGAAACAGAAGGTCCAGCTGCGGCTAAAGCCGATGCCGGAATTGTTCCATTGCCTGTTGCAGCAATTATGGAGGGCTCCGCTTGCTGTAATAGCCACTGGATCGTCTCTCCATCAGATTTATGACCCAATTCGCGCGTGAGTTGGAAAATCCTAGCAGCACAGAGTGCAGGCATGCGAATCCTCCTTCCTCTGCCTTCAACTTTAGTGTGCCTATCTTTATTGGATTTTCTTTTAGGAGCCAATTGATGCTTCTTAGCTTCATCTTTTTCTGCAATTTCAATCTGCAAGTCTTTGATCTCCATGTTGCTGATGTTATTGGTATTGATATTGATATTGTTGTGCGGTGGGTGGCTCGAGACGTTTGATACCTCCTCTATGAACAAATGTGTTTACCCAATCTTAGTTAATTCAATAAACTATTCAAAGTTGTTTTCTTGTTACACAATTATACTAGTACTATTAAAGAAAATGAAACCCATTCCCTTTTTTTAATTATAGAAGAAGCTGACATGCAAAATCATTACAGGAGGATAATTACCAATACTTCCATTTACTGTAGCAGTATTCTTTTCCAATAAAAACCGTGTGGAATTTTGACAAAAGGAACTCAGTTATTTTGCTTAAATGATATATTTATATTTTAAAAGTCATTAAATATACACATATATATTAGATTTTATATTCAGTTATTAGCGCTTGAAATATATCACTTTAAAATCATAATCTATAAAATTGGAACCCTGACTCCGTATTTGTTTGAAAGGACATCAAACAACAACCAAGCTGGAAAGCAAACAGTCAAATTCCCATAAACTTTGCTACTATAGTTTTTTGTTTAAGTCCAATTTTGGTTTTAGAGCGGAGATGCTTTTTAACAAATGGGAAAAGACTCAAATATAATATCGAATTATTTGAAATGGCTCATTTAGGTCTTCCATTAAAAGTTAAGGTTCAAAAAATACAATTAATTACTTTCCATTACCTACTGCATATTACAACTAATTTGAAATCCAAGCAACTCCATAATTGATTGATTGGTCCGTGATATTAAATAATAACACCAGTTGGTCAACACGTTACGCTACACCCTCGAGAGTTGAGTCCTAACGTGCATTGCATGATGATACATAGAAAATTGAAACTAATATGCTTGAATCCAGAAATAAGTGAAATGTCTTTCTTAAAGTGACACAACTATAGCTGGTTACATTTCCTAACAAAAAAGAGTTATAAATTGGTGGCAAAGTTAAATAATTTCTCACATTTATTACTTTGTTTATTGGTCCAAACGATTAACCACATTTGGTGTGTAGAAAGTGATTACGATAATATTACAGTTTCAAGTTATAGTAAAACATTTAAAAAGCACAATACACAATACTGTGTTTATGCATAATTTTAAAGTTGTGGTACTGATTGACTTGAATACATAATAAAGCACAAGTTATATGTGATGTCAATTTCCTATAGCCAAAGAGGCCGGCCTTTCTCTTCTGGAAATGCTCTTCAACGCAATTAAAGGAGTAATATATTGTGTTGACAAGTATAGACGGCAACAAAGAAAAGGACTTGCCTTGAATCTAGAGATGCCACAACTCTATATACTTCAAATTTTAAATTCTTTAATGATGGTTTTCAACATCAATTATAGATATGGTGACATGTCACAACCTTCCCAAAAAGTGGAGGGAATTTCTTTATCAAAGGTAACCTCTCTCAAATCCACATCATACGTCTCAGGCTGCCTGCCACAATGTTTACAATTTCTTTCCTGACCCAACTTGTTCATTAGATATCAACAAAATTTTACTTGGGATTCAAATCTAATTATTGAGGGTAAACTTCAAGTATAGGAGCGGTTCTGGATACACCAAATCACTCACATGCACTCTAATTTCTTATTTAGAATTATTAGAAAGAGAGACAGCTTGCATCAATATTTCCAAGTTTTGACATGACCTTTAACAAAAATAAGTAATTAAACAAAGTTCTGCAATCAAATTAATCAATTTCACTAATTTTTGCTTCAGAAAGGCCCCATTTTCAAGGGCAGACCTTCCAACATACTATCAAGTTTATTGGAATTACATAATGTCATGTGTTCATTTTCTTTAAAGCCTTCCAAAATTAGTAAAAAGAAGTGGAGGAGAAAACTTACAGATCTAACAGCTATCTTTGAGTGTTGGCAGTTGTCCTGGTTGCAGTATTTTTCCAAAACTAGGAAACACAGTAGCAATGTCAAATGCTTGAAAGTGGCCACTCATTTCCAAAATTTACTTGGTAACTATAGCTGCTATATATACATGCACATTTTCTTTTAAAAGTACACTAGAAAGATTTCATTTTCATGTGTGAAACTTCCAAGTTTAACATCGGGTACACATTTACAGGTACAGAAGATTGAAGCAATACTTGGACAACAGATAATTTACAATCTGAGAGTTTTTTCCTGATAAAGAGTAAATAAAGAATTGCAAATACACTTGTTCAGGTGCGCACAGAAGGCCCAAAGTACATGCAGATTGGCGGGTTAATCCTGAAGATAGAGAGTATAGCTGATGGTATGGTCCAAATCCCATCGCCACATATCAACCCAGATGCAACCGCACCAGCAAAATCGTCTGCATCCTTCTTATTTATCTTCTCCCATACAAATAATATCACTGTGCCAACAAACATGTCAATTGCAAAGTAGGCCCCAATATAGAATGGTACAGCCATCGCCATTGGAATTGGAATGAATTGGGAGACTTTCGCTGGAGTGACATCCTTCAAGAGGTTAATGGCCAGTGCTGCCACAAAGAACCCACAACACAATGCAAGACAATGCTTTGGAAGTTCGGAGAATCCCTCAATCCCCAGAATGGCCATCTCTCGGTAAATAACAGCATATGGTGCTTTGTATGGACTATCAGGAGATCCAATGTCAAAAGCATTCCAATACATCCAGAATGTGAGGGGTGCAATAATGCAACCCATGGCTGTTCCCACCAACTGACTCACAAACATCGATTTAGCTGATGAAAGTGTAAGATACCCCGTTTTGAAGTCTTGCATTAAATCAGCAGCAGTGGAGACTATGGACATCATAACTCCACATGCTGCCAATCCTGCAACGACCCCGCCATTGCTTCCAACCAGTGACGCAATAATAAAGAGACCAATCTTACCATAAGTTGAAGCCAAGCTCCAGTCTGTAAGTCCTGTACCATAGGAGTTGCAGAAAGCAAGGGCAGGGGCAATTAAGTATGAGCAAAGGACCAAATACCACTTCAGAGGAGGAAAGATAATTGGCATTGTGGCTGTAGATATTGCAGCCAAGGCAACATATCCAGATCCAGCAAACCAGAATGGTATCCTATCTTTCAGGAAAACTTCGTCGCGCTTCTTCTTTTCCAATTCTAGTCTGGAACTCTCACCACCTGTAAGAAAATGAAAAGACAAAATCAAGAAACATCATCTATGACATAAAGTAGTAATCTCTCAAGGCCATTTTAAAGCGAACACCAAAAAGTGCACGTCAACTGAAAGATTAATATAATTTCATATTTCCATTCCCCCCTTCCAATAGTGCAGTAACAGAGTACTTTCTGACAGATTAATTGGTTCACAAAGCAATTGCAGAAACGAGGAATAAGTCAATGCAAAAGTTGACCATCAACTTTTTCCGCTGCTTGATCATTGATCCGCAATTGCATTGACATTATAACCAAGCAGAAAGAGAAACCATCTGTTTAGCAATTTGGAGTTTTAATGTAGCAATTTGTAATTTTATCAATTTGGTGCTCATTCCAATATGCAGTGTTTCTCTCAGTACTTAAAAACGAAATACTTGGTCAACTAAGACCTACCTATGACCTCCATGACCAAGGGAATATTATTCTCCATGCTGCTATTTCTAAAAATTTCCGTTACGGAGATTGACACTATCTTAATCAAATTGTAAAGTCCATCCCCAAGTATGAGAGAGATGGCTATGAAGACCTGCAAAAAGGAAAGAAAAAGAAGATTACAATAACACCAACAGAGTATAAGGAAAGATTGCAAGAGCACCAAAAGATGTACATGGCCAGTTCTCCAGGGGAAAAAATAGAATGAGTATACTTGTGATGCTACGAATGCACCTTTAAATGGTTGGTTAGAAGATAACATGATATATGAGGTTAGAAATCTGACTCTAGGGGGCTGCAACAGTAAAAATAATAAATCTCTGGTGGGGGGGGGGGGGATATGCTGAATATTATCATTTCCTCAAGGTCCATTTCACTATTAAGAGGTGACATAGGAGGACAATTCTCATATCTTTAGCTAACACACCTAGAAAGCTTTAGATAGAACCCTGGAAGCATATAAAAAAACATGCTTCTCATGAGGCCTTGGGATTCTTAATTTGGGGAAAAAGGAACTCATAAACACTGATAACTGAAAGGCAATCTTCTGTTGATGGTGCATTATCATCCTACATGTAGAATCGTTCCAGAAAAATAAATATACAACAATACTCTTTACGTTTATAATTTAAGAAGTGTGTATCTTCAGTGATGTTAGATGCCTAGGGTGTGCTGTAAATTGTAATTGCTTCTGGTCGACAGCTTTGGAGTAGGCAAGTAGATACCTCCTAAATCAAGCACCCAGCCCCCCGGGAGAAGCACCCCTGTCGTTGGGCATTCACCAAAATGCCTAGGATCCTCAACCGATTGACTTCTTGTGTATCACAATTTCTAACTATACCTACCAACAATCTTAAGCCATAGACACAGCTAGCCTACAAAGGACCAATGGCAGTTCGTTGCACAAAAGCACCAAGGCCAGAAAGATGAAGCAGACTTATGAAATACGGTTATTAAACTGGAATTGAAGAAATTGAATATTGTGCATTCAAAACCTACTGCAAGGAAAACTGCAGATGCTATGCTTGAGAAGTATTTTAGCAAATTAGAAGTATCCTAAAATTTGAAAATGTCTCTCGTTGCTATATAGTCGACTACAGATATTAATCTTTACACCCTAGGCTGACAAGAAAATATAAATTCCCTCTTATCTTTCTCTTCATCCCTTGTTTTAAATCATTTTCTGCCAAATGAAGTACAGGAATAGCTTGGGAATGTATGCACAATCATTCTTGAAGTACAGTACTCTTAGGATTGCAGATTAAGACCACATTACAGAGATTGTCATTTTTTGAATGTGAATCAGCTAAAATTACTATCAGTAATTACACACCTTATATCCGTAGAGACCTTTGAAATCATTGCTTCCAAGGTCTGCTGGGTACCAGTCACCAGCACGCTGAGAGATCAATGGCCACAGGATACCCCATGATATAATAGCTCCAAAAAGAACTGAGCAGTTGACTATGTGAGGACAGATAAGACCACATCCAACATAAGTCGGACTAAAATCAAAATAGAACCTGCAGGATGAAGACTGTAAGAACCAAAACATCAATAGTCAATCCATACTTCAACAAGAAAGTTACAGATTTTCTAATTCCAGCAGGTAGGGGAAGAGGGAGAAAACGAGTATAAGGAATTCATACTACAAAGCTATGAGACGTGTTTCTCTATAGGCCTCAATTTACTAGAACAAAAGCCAGGGACAAAAATAGATAGTGTCAGAATAAAGAGTAAAAGACAATAGGTAAACATTGAAAAATAGTGCAAGTATCCATAAGAGCCAATAGAAAAAGAGGTTTCACAGCCACTAATCATCTATACAACAGCTACGCCTCAGTCCCAAACAAGTCGGGGTCGGCTATATGAATCCCCATTACATGTTTGCTGGTGTTCTAACAGCCTAGCACATATTTGCTTTAAGAACCGGTTTCCTCCTCTTGAAAATGAACAACTGTCCACAAAAAACATAAATATAGCATTCTCATTCCCATCTAAAGCTACAATTATTCTCTTCCTCTCCATCTAGCCCATGAAAATTATAATCTTAAGAGTAACAAATAATCATATGAATAGAAAAACAAGTTCAATATGAATAGAGGGGGGAAAAAGAGGAAGAAAAAGAGTTTTACCTAGCACATATAGCAAGGAATATAAGAATTGCAGATATTAGAAGGATATGCTTACGTGTTCTTGAATAGGGTGAGCCCTAGAGTGGGAAAATTGTCAAAGCCACATGCATCCCCAATACCACTGAAAAACCATTTAAAACAGCTCCAGCAGAAACTTATACTCAAATATTTTCCAAGACGACCAACTTGATTCCTGTAGCAACAAATGATACTTGTGATATTCATAGAGCACAAGACGTTTCATAGTAAGTTCTCCTAAGAACATGCAAATGATCAAATAGTTGAAGCCCCCCACCCCCGACTGCAGAAAAAGGATAACATGAAAACTTTTATATTCATAAAGTTCTGAAAAAAGGAAAGAAAAGGAACCAACTCCAAAAGCCAGAGAAGAAATAGGGAAAACTAATTATTTGGTGATGTTTAGTCGAGCAGGCAAAGTACACAGCTTTATTCGTCTAGTACATCAATCACCAAGAATCTCTGTTGCCGATAAGGACCATTAAGTATAAAATTAACTGAACCAGTCTTATCTTACTAGGCACCTTTTGCATTTTTATCATCAATCAGGTAGCTAGCTCAAAAGGGTGGCATCTTTATGAATTTAGATACAGAAATGAAGATAACAATGGATCTCTTGCCTTGCAAGTTCAGCGCCGGTATTTGTGTGGAAGCTATTAATTAACATGGCAGTTGCAGTTCCACTAGGGTATGTGAGTTTATAACCCATTACCATAACCTGAAATTACATTTAAAAGAGAAAACAA